CAAATTTCTGTATGAATACAATTATATAGCATTGTGCATACGACAAGCAGAAGGCATACTAAAGCATTAGAATGAACATGTTCATAGCAGAGGACAAGGTGAAGCCATAGAAAATATGAGGCTTAAACTTGGCGGTGGTCAAGCTTATGACCGTTCCAGTGACTATTATCTTTTTTTATTGCTAGTGGGGTGGGACTACGTCCCTTGTACTGCGGCCACTTCTGGCCTATTGTACCAGCCTCAGATGACAGGTGAGGGTGATTGTGGAGCAATTGGTGGAATGAAGATTGGCAGGGATAACCGTAGTACTTGGAGGAAACCTGCCCCAGCACCACTTTGTCCACCACAAATCCCACTTGATCAGACCCGGGTTGCCGTGGTGGTAAGCCAGCGACTAACAGCTTGAGCTATGGCGCGGCCCTGTTCAAGTGACTAAGCTGCTATTGTAGCATCAGATACGTAAGATAGGCAAAATTTGCTCTGCAAAGCATATACTGACAAAGGCCTTGTGTATAGTGCAAAAGGAATAATTTTCAACATGCTATATGTGTGATACGTATACTTGACAAAGGCGAAGTGAAGACTATTCATAAGAGACTAAATCATCTTCTTGTCAGAGAGGATGTTACATAAGGGTTATTACCGCAAAGGTTTAGTTGGTGGGGTGGGGACTCTGGTCGTGGGACTAAAGGTGCTTCACACCAAGACAAACTCGTAAAGTGACAAAGTCTTTGTGTGAACAGTTCAAAAACACACGGAGCAACAACTTGGTGGAATCAAGATCTAGTAAAATCACAGAACAAGAGCTCAAAATGCTCAGAGAATTTTTATCACATACTTTGAAATCATGACACTAATATATAGAAATGCAACTGATTTTCAAAATTAAACTAAAAAACTAGTATCTCATAAGTACTAATAAAAAAATAACATTATGGCACATTTAATGATAATGCCACTTCTCCAATGGATAATTTCCACTTTTGCTTTCTTAATTTTTTTCTATTAACACTTTTGCTGTGAAATCCAAGGCTGATTGTTTACTGTTCTTTGTCCACACTACTCTATTCAAGAAAGGCAGGTCACAAACACACAAAAATTTCTTTCATCTTTCCTCTAACAGTAGATGGCATTTCCTGAACATACAAAAACTGTATACTAGTGATTTATTTATAGTGAAATACTAGAATCAGTTATGGTACTGCAAAAAAAATGGCCAGGCTGGAAGGTAAGCCAGCAACAGAGCTGCTAGAGTTAAAAGTGTTATTACACTATATGTTACTCAAATAAGTGAAAAAGAGATTACTCATAGTATTTAATGTATTGAGAATACACAGTTTTCACATTATTTCAGGCCATAAAAATATAAATCAAGTGCTGATGTAGCAGAAAGCTGTTAGATTGTTAACACATCTGAAAGAAAAACATTCTCTTCCAAACAATCAAAATTTCCTGCAGTATCTAGAGTTCGACATAATTCTTAATCTTCTAGTTTTAGCTCTCTCTCGCTCTCACCCCACCCCCTCTCTTGAAACACACACAAATTCTGCTTAGAATTTAAAAATTGTTTTATGGAAAGAGCTATGCTATCATGGTGATGCACAAGTAACAACGAACAGTCTAGTGATGGAGAATTTCATTCTTTTGAAGGGTGGACAGCCAGTGAGACACTGAGGTAGTATAAAAATAGACTCCGTGGTTTTAGTCCGCAAGCGAACTATACCGATCTAGTGACCTCTGTTTGTCGGCGACATTAGTGCCAACTTTACTGGATAGAGGGTGTCATGTGGTCAGCGCAACGAATCCCCACGACCGTTAATTTTGGTTTTGTAGACCAGAGCCACTACTTTTTCATTCAAGTAGCTCCTCAATTATCCTCACAAGGCTGAGTGGACCCTGATCCAGACCCAATACTTCTCATAAAATGTGGTATCACCAGTGAATCAAACCCGGGACCTCTGGATCTGTAGCCAGGAACTCTGACCACTAGACCACAGAGGCAGTCCTGCTACCATAAAGTTATATATTTTCAACATTTCCTAAATTCAAGCAATCCTCTCAAATCCAAATTTTCATTACTTTGTTTCTGGAATAAGAATATTCCCCAAAATTGCAATTACTTGGTTTTAAGGTCACTGCTGCATTAGGCCTGATGGTATTTGTAAGCACCATGGTATTCTTTTTATCAGGGCTGAGGCCTTAGGCTAAAAGCTGGAAGTTCACGAGTTCGATTTTCAATGTGCTGGGATTTTTCAATTTACCTAATCCTTCAAGCCGCACTATGGCCCTGGGGTAGATTCAACTTCTTACCAGAAACGAATACCAGGTATCTTCCTGGAGGTTAAGGGCGGCCGGCGTGTAAGGCTAACAACCTCATGCCACCTGTGAGCCAATTGTCTAGAAAATGTGAGAGCCTTGACATCTCACAACACGATAGGCTTCCATGACTTGTTACATGGATAGCTTTATCTTTTCTTATCCATATAACAGCACAGTTAAACCTCACATTTACACTTTTGAAGGGAGCACCTAAAATGTAAACTCACGGAAACGAAAATAATGTAACATAAAGAAAAATGTGGATTGCTATATGCCATAAATTTTTCAGTAATTTACAATATGCATATTTAAACACATTAAAATGTAAATGAAAATACACTACCCTACACAGCACATTATTTCTTTAGTCAGTGATTTGTCTATTCTTTCTTGAGCTCTGTATGATCCATTTTCAATTTTGTTTCATGTTAAAATAATAAAGTCCTTGGTATAATGCTTGCAAATTACTTTCTTGCTGCTTCCAGAACTGTCACTGGATCTGGGAATGTTGTCTTGTCTTCAACTTCCTCCTCTTCTTCCTGTTCTTCGTGTGGTTTGGCCAACTGTTTTTCCAACAGCTTGGTTTCCCAAACAATTAGAGCACTGGCATGCCTTATGTAGTCTTAACATTACACTCCATGAGGCTGTAAACTATATGAGTTATTCTCTTAATTTTCAGTGCTACTGATGTGCTCAATCGAAAAACCATACTCCACAAAACATTCCGTAATTGTAGTGAGTGCTATCAACGACCAGGCTTTTGCTATGAAGTGCACTGCACATAACACTTTCAGCTTCATCCTTGCAATAGCTTGTAGCAGCCCCCCATCTATTATGGTTAAAGCTTTGTAAACAAGCAGCTGTCAGTAATGGCTCTTAAATGCATTGATGATACCCAAAATCTAAAGTTAGAGCTGGTAAATACACTTGACTAAGAGAAAGACAACTTTGATATTTTCTGAAAAATATTGTATTCTTTGGGTGAGAAGCACACTGATCAATGAAAAGCAAAGGTTTGTTATTTCTTGCAACACATTTTCTATCTACCTGTGTGAAGGTACTCTTAAAATATTCTGGTGGTTATCCAAGAATATGTATTGGCTTTCTACTATGAAAAATGTCTCAACATTCTAGATACAATGTGGAATTGCATGTGTTCTAATCAAAATAGGAAAACATGACTGCCTCCTCAGCATTATATGTGTTACAGAGGTCTCACCTAGTATCCTTGCAACAGCCAGCAATTTTCCCAGTTCATTGTGTTCGTTCATATATCTGTCGATACCAGCATTAGATGCTGAAATTTTGTATGCTCCTAGATGAGTAGGAATGTGGAAGGCCTTGTCCTGAAGTTGGATGTTATCTACAGAAGCATTCTTTGTATGTGACTGCTGGAACTACACAACAAAAGCTTTAACAGATCCTCCACATGTTTGAAGGATCTCTGCTGCTTGGAGAAAGGTCCATCTTGGGCATAACAACCTTCAGTTCCTTCAAGGTTTTTCACAGGTCGGATTAGTGTCGACACTAAAATTCCCAACTGCAATGCCAGTTCAGCAGGTGTTCCAATATGCATATCAATTTGGGCTATAATACTAATCTTAACATTTATTGTAAATAAGTTTCATTTTGAAATTACTGTTTTTTTTTTTTCACTTTGTCCCATGTTCAGTATTCTAAAAACTATGGAACATGTTTCAGAAACAGGATGTGTTTCCGCCCAAAGGTTGGGGGAGGGACACTTACTCTGTTGGGTCCCTTAGAAGGAGCTAACCTCAATTACTGGACAACCCATGCAAGTATTACTCCAGCTATATAAATACCTGATACCAGGCTTTGTCAAAGGGAGAATATATGCAACAGAAATGGTGATAGAGCATGCACAGGCCTCAGGCTAAGATAGAAAGGGAGGTGAAAATTTTATGCATCAAATCTAGCCAACAAACCAAGTCCAGGAAAACCAATGCACTAAATTAAGTTTTCCATTTAACAATTTAACATCGTTCGTATGGGCTTATAGCTAGGAAAATGAAAAAGTGTATAAAACTGGGAAAAACATAAAACCAGAGAATATAAAATCAAAGTTTTAGTGTAGTTATATAAACATTTAAAAAAATTCACAAGAGTACTGTGATGCCTGCAAACAAACAGTTAAAAAATTTCTTTCTATAAGTGTGTCACATTAAGTACATGTAATATGCTTATTTACATTTCTTTTTTTGGCTTAGTATCACCCACATTCATATGGCGTAAGAACCCCAAAACAGAATTAACATCAACATATGTTTCCTTATTTCTTTAACACAGAAAGTCAAAACATTTAAATATTGTATCTTAAAATAGTATCATGGTGACAATTTAATAAACAATGTAATTACTTCAGACTTCAAGAACAAGGACAAACATGAAATGCTTTGCTCATGAACAGATATTGTAAGAATAATATTTTTCAATAATGTACATTTTTATAAGAATGATATAACAGACAATGAATTATTAACATTCTTAACCTTAGGGACTATATCTTTTAACTGGTAAACATCAGTACTGAGAAAATATGAAGGGATATTCATCCATAAATACAAGGGAGAGTCAGTAGTAAATAGGTCACAAACAGAAGTATAACAGCTGTAATGGACATAATAAGTTTTCTATGTGTATCACTAGGTAGCAGCACAGTCCAGCTTCATGACAGTTTAGGTAGCAGACGTGCATGCACATGTTCAGAGACTGGTTTCAGTAGTCAAAATGGTGACCATGCTTCAGGAGTAAACTTCTGAAGGGCGCTGTTCTGTCATGGGGGAAAAGGACTCAATGCAAAGGATATTCATGAAGAAATGTTTCCTGTTTACAGTGGGAAGTATTTGTTGCATAAAGTGGTCCACAATTGGGTTGAGAAATTCTCTCAAGGGCGTTCAAGTTGCAGATGATGCCCAACCAGGTCTCCCTGTCAAGATTATGACCAAAGCAAATGTGCAGTGGGTGGAAAAGTTGATTCAAGCTCAGAGGAGGATAACGATACACAGTCCAGCAACTGCACTAGGGTGTTCCCATGGTTTAGCATACAGCATAATGCACGATCATTTAAGTTTCAAAAAAATGTGCAAACAGTGGGTGCCCAGAGAACAGAAGGATCAACAAAAATGAACCACATGGGTCTCTCCTTGCAACATCTCTTATGGTATGTAGATGAAGGAGATGTGCTTAACAGGACTGTTGTGGGGAAAAATCATGGGTGCACCAACCATCAACCCAAATCAAAGTGTACTTCAATGCAGTCAAAACATCCCAGTTCACATTCAACCAAATAGTTGACGGTTATGCCATCAGCTGGGAAGGTTATGCTTACCATATTTTGGGATTCCCAGGGAGTACTGTTAGCCTATTTTCAGAAGTGTGGTTTAAATGTGAATTCTGCATCGTACTGTGAAATTTCAGGAAAATGACAATGTCAGATTCCATACAAACAGAGAAACCCAGGAGGAAATTCAAGAACTACAGTGGGAGCTTCTTAACATCTGCCCTAGAGCCTGGACTTGGTCTCTAGTGACTTGCACCCATTTGGTCTGCTATGAAATCACCTTGGTGGAAAACATTTCACTGATGACAATGAGGCTGAAATGGAGGTGTGGTAGTAGCTGAGACGACAGTCAAAAGACTTTCGACGCGCTGGTAAAGCAATGGGACAAGTGTCTCAATGTTGGTGGAGGACATGTCAAGAATTTGTTTTTTCCAGGTATGAATATCATATATTTTACGTTTTATACCCATTTGTGATCTATTTACAGACTCTCCCTCAAAACAGTCTAAAACTCAATGTTAATTTAAAAAAAAATGTTTTGTGGAACATCTAGGGAATAATCTAAGTGAAACAAAGAAAACCAAAACAAGAGCCAGTTTCAAACTCACAACCTCTGGATGTTTACTTTGATGTTCTAGACTTTAATGGTACACTACATACCACAACTGCACTTCAATAGCTACATTACACTACAGCACTAACAATTTACTAAAGAATCATCATATCTAAAAACTGCAGTACAGGTCAGAGTGTTGGGTTTGTCTTCTCAACTAGGGAAAACTTCACCACACTTCTCCAGCCATGCAGTTCTAGTATTGCTTCAGCAAGCTTCACTGGCCAGATCATATAGTTTTAATATACACTTCAAAACGACTGCCAATTTCATTTTCTCCTCAGTACAAAACAATATTCCTTTAAGAATAACATTTCTTCCCCCATTGTGGGCAACTGTGTGACATGTTAATATACCAGATTTCATCCCAGTGATTCAGTCATATCCAGTTCAACAGGGTAAACAGCAAGGTAATCATGGTCAGTAGAAAAAAGGGAGGGACTGAGGCTTAGCTGAGAGGGAAGAGATTTTTTCCAAAAATGGTAGTGGCAGTGGAATCTCCACTCAAAGTTCATATATTTTCCGGAGCTTAAGATCTGTCAGCCATGCTGTATGTGCCTGCCTCCCTCAGCTTGCAGGCCAACAAAATTACCTGAAAGATGCTGTTGATAACAATGACTAGAACGTGAACACAGTTTGCTTCATGGTATATCATAAACACGGCAACCTGCAAAGTGCAAGAACTATGTATGCTGTATTTCTAACATCAGTTTCAAATAAGCAACTTACTTAATTTATAAAATTATGTTGGGCAGATGAAAAATCAACCCTCAAACACAATGAAAACTGTACTTTTCATATAAAAATAAATTAAGCTTGTCTCACGTCATTTCATTCTATGTGAGATTTTGTTTTGAATTATGACCATACCGTTAAACAATATAGCAAATAGAGGCTTCAATCTGCCTTAATTTATTTAAGCAAAGTACATTTTAACTTCACATTCACTTATCATGAGTGCATCCTGTTCATAAATTATTAATATTATATTTCATACCTTCCTAAATTTAGACATATATAGAACAATTTTTTTTAATCAGGATAATGTAAATGTGAAGCCTCAATAAAGTCTCACCACATATGCGTCTCACGGATCTCACTAATGATGTGCCCAGCTTGCTGGAGAGCCTAGAAACACAACAATATATTGTAATCACATACATTTAGAAAGCATGTCAACATTTTGTCATAAAATATATATTTGACGATAATATAAGGAATATATTTGTCAAAGAGCATCTTCCTGTGTATGCAAAACTCTGGAGACAAGTTCAACACATAATGGTGTGGGGCTGCTGAATACCAGTATCATGTTTGCCTCAAAGATGTGTGAAGTTGTCTAAACACTTCTCAGTTAACCTTTAAGTGCCGAAGTGCCCAGTTTGTGCCAGTCATGAGTAAGGTCGTCGTGGCCAAAGTACCCAGTTGTGGCCAGTCAGGCATTTAAACTCCGCTAGTGGAAGCGCGCGCACACGCCGCTAGTAGAAGCGCATGCACAGTCCTGAATATTTATTTTTAAATGTAGTAATTACCAGACCGACTTAAGTAAAACCCTAATAGAGGAATTAAAATAATACCTTACTGAACAACAGCAAATAAAAATATACGTATGAGTTATGCCAAAACTTATCCACAATCCAGTAATTTTGTTGCAGATTCTGCAGATAGGTATGTTAAAAATATAGTGTAAAATTCGATGTACATACCTTTTTTGTTGTTACCTTCTTGATGTATATATAGGTTCAAATGAAACTACAGTATTCGATTTCACTACGAACGCACACAAAAGAGATCACGCTCTGTATCTCAGCCACGATGCAGCTGTCTGTTCATTCAAATAGAAGGGGCAATAAGCTTTTGCAGCCCTAACGGAACATCTTAGCACTGAAGAGGGGACCCCTATAGCTTTCTCTTGAATAGCCATTCTTTCATTCTTCTGACCTTCAGTCAAGTATTCGAAAATCCGAAGGGTGTAAGCAGCGCTAGCAGAAGACCAAATGATTTTATTGCTTCCATCTGTTTTATGACACCAGAGACTGCTAAAATTTGTCAAGTGTTACAAACAGAAATGAAGTTATAATGCAGAACAACTCTGTGAAGAACTGGGAAACCATTTTTGCAGTACGCATCAAAATTAAAACACAAAAAATTGAAAATAGAGTACAACACTTTGTATTAAAAATTTCAAATCTTCCTTTATAATATGCGACACTATGTTCTTTTCTGAAATAAACAAAGTTATTTCCATCCATTTATCATAAAAATTGAGCTAGATAGAGCATTTTTAAACACAACGCTTAAAATTGATTAAGCGCCTAACAGGAACGGACATTTAAACGCAGCGTAGCAACGGGCATTTAAACGCGCACCAGCAGCGGACATTTAAATAAACTCCGGCCAGCTCAAGCTTACCACTATTTCGAAGTCCGGCGTTTAAAGGTTAACTAATGCTATGTTACACTAACATCCATCTCTCTGAGATTTGAGGTTTTCTTGGCAGTGAGTGTTACAATTATGGTCTTCTGGGATGTGACATTGTGCAGTGTGGTAGACAGGCTATGGCATTGTGAAGGAACATTGCTATCCATTTGCCAAAATGAACAGTGACACATCCCGGAAGACTGTAATCTTCATATACACCTACAAATATAACTATCATGTTACTTATTTTAATACAGACACATTTCAGCTACTGAAGCCATAGTCAGTGCTCATCTGTGTAAACATGTTCACTCAGATTGAATCACTTATTTCAGAAACAGGGATCAAGCAGGTTTGCAATGAAAGAATGGTACAGTTTGTTATTAATGATAGTTAGAACTATTTATATCAAATGCCCAATTACTCCTTAAAAGTATTATTATGTCAAAAAAATCAACAAAATCAAATTAATGATTTCAGAACTTTATAATTCTGTGGCCTATACCCTTTTTAGCAATATATGTCATAATTATAATCCCAAAATCACAAGTGTTTAATATTAGTATCTATTATTTACATGACAGATACAAAGTACTATGGACAAACATTTAAAATTTTTACTCAATTACTGCAATAAAGTATGAAGAGAGGTTTGCACTGCAATACTGCAGACTTACTCCACTTCATCAGAGTCATTTTCAGCCAGTGTCTAAGTTAACCATAAAAGAGTATTCTTTGCATAAAGCTCTCTTGTAGTGTGCCATATGCACATTAGCGTTGTCTTGGTAAAACTAGTCATACTGTCTTTTGTCTTCCATCAGCTGTTCAAAAAATGGTTCCAATATATTCCTAACGTATCAGTCCAAGTTCACAGTTTCGTGGTAAGATACTGGATTAATGATATGCCTAGCACTTACAGCACAGCACACCACACACCAATCTTTATATCATGTAGCAGAATCTTGTGAAATGCATGGGGATTTTCACCATTCCAGATTCATGTGTTCTGAGAATTTACATAACCGCTTAAGTGTGAGGATCTATGAGCCCACTGTGCACATTTTCATTATCCAGTTACAAAACCGAATCCTTGGTGGAGGATTTGCCCTCGAAGCAGAGCGAAAAACACATCTATCTCTTGTGATAATCATCTTAGAGACTTCCAAGAGCTAGTCTGTAACCAAGCCCATGTGTTTTCAAGCTTCTCATCTGAGAGCACTGTTTTCTTGCGATAAGGTGTTTTATCAAGCAATGACCCTGTGGTCTGCCACTTCTTAGTAAGTTTGGACATGCAGGATTTTGTGGGCACAGGTGGATCAAGGTATTCACAGAAGAATCTTTCCCTGTACTTCAAGTGAGTTCTCTTTTGAATGCATTTTTCAACAACAAATATTCTCTGATCAGTAGTGCACATTACTGGGTATAGAGAAAAAGCAAACTCTTGAACTGAACACATAAATACAACTTCCACCTTATCTCTTCCGGAACTGACAGACTACAGCTAGAAGAAAGGAAGAACAGCAAGGCCAAATAAGCAGCCGGTCTATGTGCGGAGTTGAGTTTCCTTTTATTGTGAATGTTCTGTATAGTTCTGTGAAGCACCGTTACCCACCTACAATACTACTTCATGTTAAATATAAATATCCACTGCCAAAACCTCAAATCTCAGTTGAAAATTAGAGTTGTGCTGAACTTTGACATTAGGACATTGCCAATATGCCAATGATGTTCAATATGCAAATAAAACCCGCATGATTTTTGCATTCAATGCCCTCAGATAACCAAAAAGAACATGCAGGAGAATTCTTCTCGAGAACCTAACAGCTACTTAGCTTCTCAAGTATTACCTTTATTTAAATACTTGTGAGTGGGGGGGGGGGGTGGAAGTTACGGGGGCTCAAAAGGAAACTATAAATAAATTTATAAAATTAGAATACATTCTGACCTTCAGCATATCAGCAGCCTCCTTACGACGGTGTGCAACGTGTTCTGATTCATTCAAGAGTTCCTCCACCTGGTCTGATTTGTACAAGTGAGTCACCAGCTCCGACTGAAGATTGTCCTTCACGAAGTTGACAAGAAAGTGCATCACAGCTTTTGGAACACTATCTTGGATTGATTTACGTACAATGTAGAAATATGACTTAATTAGCCGCTCTGTAGAAAGAGGAATATTAGCATTATTTTATGCTTTAAAAATGCACTACACTACATAGTCATCATTAAAAACATTTGTTATGATATAGTATTACTTAATATCATGAGTTAATTGGCACTGTTCCTTAAAACGGTGATTCTGAAGTGCAGACACAAGCTCTCTTAATGACTGGGGATTGGTAGAATTAATCAGATTTAAGCAGTAAACGAGTTTTGTTTGCACCTTGCATTTACTTTATTTCTGGATTTCTTAACTCACATGTTTTTTTTACACATCCACTTACTGAACATCCAAATATATTTTGGAAAATCCATATAAAAATGTTTACCTAAAAGTACATGTGACCACAGGGTATCACCTATATTGTGAATCCTACAATGGCAAACCTTTCTGTCTGTGACTTCAACCATGGCAAATTTTTACTTGTGAACTCTTGCCTAAAAGCAACTTTATCCCCAATAACCACTAAAAATGATAATCAGTCTCTTGATTCAGCAGGGTCACAACAGACTTTTCATAAGATATATAAAGTATAGAATATACCGTCGACACAACAACAATCAGTATTCAACATTTGCTTTTATTACGTTTATTAGAGACACAACATGTTTTGACCCTTTCACGGGTCATCATTAGGCATACAACGCACCAGTCTGAGCTGGTGAGTTGCAATCAATTGTCATTTTATTCATCGAACAAGGATCCTTATTGTATCTTGAAAATTAAATTCAAATGTAAATGTATAACAAATCTTGGGCGAAATTTAAAGCTAAAACCCTGAGATAATTGTATACTTTTCAACTGCAAAAAACAGTTGATTTTCAGCTTCTCTTTTCCTAATATTTGTGGCATTATCTTTTCAAGATAATGGAACATGGCATTAAGCACTCTAATGTAATGCCAGTAGGAGAATTCCTTTCATTACACAACATTCACAGTAACATGGCACAATTCCTTGAACTCATTAGTGTGAGAGCAATAAACTGTTTTCATATAAGAACATATGTGAATATACAGAAATATTTATGAGAGTGGTTCAATGTTGACCTGGGCTTCAATATTTACAAAAAGAACATACATGCCAGAATCATCAAACTCTCACTCCTTTTCGAGACATTCTCTCATTGCAACAACATATTTCATTTTTCATTCTCCTGGAAAGTTAACGACACCAACAGCATAAAGGGTTTTATCCTGACTGTGTAGCCAGTCGAAGACTTTGAGTTCGCCATCAGTTTGCAATTTCTGGCCACCCAAGGCAAAACTTCATTGGCCCAAACAAATGAAAATCACTGTAAACCAAGTTGGGGCTGTAAGGAGGGTGGTGAATGATTTCTCAGCGCTCTGTTGTCAATGTCGCCTTAGTCAAACCTGCTGTACATGGATGAGCACTTGTCATGCAATAGTATGATGACCTCTCGAGTGTCCTGGGTCTTCTCTCCTGAATCGCATGTTGCAGATCATTACAAAGCAAGCTACTGTAATATTGTGCACTAACTGCTACACCATGTGGAAGAAAATCAACATGAACCACTCCTGAATCCCAAAACATACTTCCACGATCCTGGCAGATGACAGATGTGTCCTATATTTTTTTGGTGGTCAAGATTCCTTATGACACAATTCTATAATATGGACCCAACTGGGTCCACTAGGTATGGCGGCCACTGATTGGCCTATTGTACCTGCCCCGGGTGATTATGATGATGGTGAATTTGGTGGAATGAAGATCGGCAGGGGAAACCGAAGTACTCAGAGAAAATCTACCCCAGCACCACTTTGTCCACCATAAATCCAACTTGAGCAGACCCAGGATTGAACCCAGGCCGCCACGATGGGAAGCTAGCGACTAACCGCTTGAGCTATGGCAGGGCCAAAACACTTTGATTCTGCATTGAAATAGTACACGTCTTACATCCTGTCATAGGTCACTCTTTGTTCAAGGAATGTATAACCCTCAAATTCAAACCAGTGCAGATGTCTGTCAGACACAGCAACAAGCTGAGCCTTCTGGCTGAACAGACCCACCAGGCATGCACACTTTCATGAACAGTAAGCGTTCATGAATAACTGTTTCAACACTTCTAACACATATGCCACTGTTGAATGCAGTAATACGAACCGCAATTCGCCTGTTCCCTAAAATCAGCTCTTCCATGAGGCAAATGTTCACGCAGCATACGGCTGTTGGCTGAATGCGAACATGCAGAAGGTCCCCGATTTCTTTACAGCCTTCAGAAAACTTACTGTACCAACTACAGGCACTTGAACATGGCAGCATCTCTTTCCCATATTGCACATTTAACTCATAATGAATTTCTGCTCGTTTCACCTCTGTCACTAGGAATCTGATGATACAGCACTGTCCTACACTATAAATGATGAGGCCTGACACCATCTCTAACGCACAGAAACAGGGAGCACAGCCAACAACTGTTCATGAAAAAGATTTATTTTCCTGGTGCCCACATCTTCAGGGTTAACCTTGAACCACCCTCACAAGAATTACTTAGTTACAGTTACTAAGTGAACCTCATACAATTCATGTAAGTTTTGAGGTTTTCACGGCGATGACTATGAAGAAAGTCATCTTCTGGGTTTAGGCGCAGTGTATTCTTCGTTTTGGCCGACGTTTCGGAGGAACGTATCGCCTCCATCTTCAGAGCAGTTGAATGGCTTGGAATGCAGAGAGCAGTAGCAGTAGAGACAGCTACTGCTCTCTGCATTCCAAGCCATTCGACTGCTCTGAAGATGGAGGCGATACGTTCCTCCGAAACGTCGGCCAAAACGAAGAATACACAGCGCCTAAACCCAGAAGACGACTTTCCTCATACAATTCAGTTCAAGATTATGGCCTTCTGGGATATGATATTACGACATAACATCCAGAACCCATACTCTTTGAAATGTGGGGACCATAGAAGTACTTGAAAAATGTTCATTTACTAGGTGACAAAAACTCAAACCCCTGCCATCCGCAAGAACCAAGATGCTGGTAAGCTCAGCTGTGCATCAGCAGTCTTCAGCATTGTGATAAAAAGAAGCATCCCAGGCAGTCTGTGATGACGTAGTGCTGATGACAGAGTATAGAGGATCAAACCAAGAGCAATTTAAGGTATTCTGAAGCAACTCTGAATGCTTCTAATTGTAAAGAAATGCAATCAGGGCCAAAAAAATAAATTTCCAAGACAAACCCACTGAATAGCCACTAACATGTACCACTTGTGTCAAAGGTGGGATGTTGGGGGTAGAAATGGATCTAGTGCAGCAGCTTTTTGAAAGTGGCCAATTAAGTCTGACTGCCATATTAAGGGCCACAGTGACTGACATCCAGTTTGCCCAGGGCTGCTGCAAGGGATCCGGCATTGAGATACTAGGGACAAGTGCTAAAAATGCAACTTTGGAGAGGTGGGGAAGGTATGGAGGGCAAAGAGAAGGTGCTGAACTATGCCCTCAGCCAGGCTGTGAAGTCTGAGGCTGTCAAGACAGCAGATGAACCACCAGCAAAGCTGCTAGTGGTAAGTACCATGGAACATGACCGCCACGGGCCAAGCACTGCAGGACTGAGAGACCAATGGTACTGGCTCCTCCAAAACATTGATATCTACAAAATTGGCACCACAATCAACCAGACCTTAATCTTTATACTCACTGTTGTGAGAACCTCATCTCTCCCTTATATTACTTAAATCTGATTGTGGTCATTTTTTTTTGAGAGAGAGAACTGCCAAAATGTTACAGTTGAAATCAGCTCAAGAAATGCATACCTATAACATCACAGTCGCGCTGCTCCCTATCAGATAGTTTCCTGCTTGTCTGCATTGGAACTTCTGGTAGCAAATTTACAGGTTTCTGTGGACTAAGCACACCTTTTCCATCATTTTGATGTGTGGGTGTCATACTTGGTGAGCTTTCTGAAGACGCTGCTTCTCTTTCTGATCGAGCCGTAGGCAAATAGTTTGAAAACCATGTTGTTGCATTTGTGACCTGTTCATGGTTGTATCGATTAATTGTATGGTTCTGTAAAATATGATGAAATATACACATTCATTCCATTTACTATTCAAATTACAACAGCCAAGGAAGGCAAAGAGGGGAAACAACTCCTAACCTAAACAGCTAACAAGAAATGTTAACACATAAACATATTCACACAGATTTTGGCAATGACAATTTTTGTTAGCATAACAATCTGTTCAGATAAGGGTGCAGTCATTTACCCTTACTTTATGAAGCACATGAAATGACTATGTGGTCAAACCCCCACTTAAGGTTTCTTTGGAGAGCAGTGATCTAAATAGTGAAGTAAAAAAAAAAATAGATTTCATTTAATGTTGGGATAACTGACCTGGGAACACTGAAATATAACATTAAGTGTTGGCCACCTTAAAATCAATGAGCATTAAATGGAGGTTCTGTGGTACATCCAGCAAAAGATACATGTCACTTTGCAGACACATCAACTCAAACATTCGGCTCACTGGCATGTGGGAAGGTGTAACTAGCACCACAGACCTGAGTTCTTCTTGAACAGTCAATTCAACAAACTTTGAGCATTTTATGGAACATACATGTTCACAGATTCATGATGATGATGATAAAAATTATAAATCAAAAATATGTTACATGCATGATACAATAGCTGAAAAACTATTTTCATACATTATTTTCAGCTTTAAAGACAACAAAAACCATAAAGCAATTAAAAAAATTGGGACCTGGCAGTAAAGATATTTATGAATACATGAAATCCAAAAAAATGGTTCCTAACGGCAAGATAATCACACCTGTTTATAAACAGAATAGGAAAACAAACAAAACAAACTTCGTAGCCTCTAGTCCGCAAGTGAGCTACACCAACCAAGTGACTGTTGCTTGTCGGTGAAGTTAGTGCCAACTTTAGAGGATAGAGGGTGTCATGTGGTCAGCGCAATGGATCCCCACGGCCATTAATTTCGGTTTTCTAGACCGGAGCCACTATTTCCTTGAAATAGCTCCTCAATTATCCTCACAAGGCTGAGTGGACCCCATTCCAGACCCATTACTTCTCAGATAGTCTGGTAGCGCCAAGAATCGAACACAGGACCTCTGGATCTGTATGCAGGAACTCTGACCACTAGACCACAGAGGTTGTCAAACAAAATAATACAATGTGGAAATAAGGGATCATGCTGCAAGATGAGAAACATCTCACATCACTACTTCAAACTGCTGGAAAACATTGCTTGAATTTCTCTTTTAGAAGGGGAAATCAATAAAAATGAACTTATACTGCTTCTCCACATTCTAGATTTTCTTATCGTGTGTGAAACAGACTTCATCATTTCATTAATTACCTGGATTCCTTTTATTACAGCATTTCACATATTCAATATTGTTTTAAAACAATGATTAGAAAGGTAAAGCTACTATAAGCATGTACATTTATGATATCTCTCAATTGCTCAAAACATGAATTACAACTGAAGGTTCTTTAGTTTTGAAATAACTGTTTTTAACTTCCTATTGTATATTATAAATTTAAACATTAAATTCTGGGAAAAGCCACTTATGCTTAGATGAATACAGTATGTCAAATACAGTTTACAACAAGAAGTTCTGGGAAGAACAAATCGCCTACTTTCCTTTCATACAACATGAACCACACACAAAACAATGCCTCCAAGAATTCTTCATTGCCACGGGAATGTCTTTACTGAGTTGTTACTTAGGAATGATGGGGATACATAGAGTACAGACATACATATCCAACAATTCTTCTACTGTTGTGTGTACCTGCTACAACAGGAAAGTGTTTACCAAGCCACTGCCTAGCAACAAAAGGATGGATACACTTTACTGTGCCTTTGCCTACAAATGAGAAGAGAGAGACACACAGACATAGAGACTAAAGGAAGGGATTTATGAAGTACGCTGCTGAGATGAGCTCAGGTGCCATGATATGCACACCAAGTTTCAAAAAAATTGGTTCAGGTATTCAAAAAGTTCACTGGGGGGGGGGGCAGACACATGGACAGAATGGAGATCATATGCCTACTTTTGGAAGTATGTTAAAAATAATAAGTATTTATGTTTTTGCTCTTAATCGAAACTGCCACATAAAGTCATGTGAACTTGCACTGAAGCTTAGTTGGTTGGTTAGTTTATTGGAGAGGGTGGGTTACCCCATGCACCGCGACCAGTTTCATCTATTGTGCTTCCCTCTATAATATTCTACCAGTCTCTATACCCTACCGATATTGGTGCGTACCATCAGTCCCGACCGAGCCAGCGAGTTCTCAACTGGCTTGGCGGTATCTATAATGCTTCCCCCATCTATCAGAGGTATTAGAGACTATTGTTGGGCGGGAAACGTCCTTGAATTTGGCTCAGTGACCTCCTTTGGAGATATGAGGTTCTTTTACATGCCGTAAAGCTACGACATGGGACCCACGGCTTAAAGTCCATCCCGGAGGACTTGTTCCCTGAATTTTTCCGCAGTTAAAAATTCCACGACCTCCGCTGGGTTTGAACCTGCGTACCACGAGTCATGAGGTGGGAACGTTACCTGTAGACTACGGAGGCTGCTTGCACCGAAGCTTAATATTTATCTGAAAATTAATTTAACTTATCCTACCTTTGGCACATCTTTCTCTATATCGCCAACTGAAGCAGAGATCTGACTCATATGTGAAGGATTATTTCTTTTGCTGGCTGGTCGCTGGAGTCTTTCATCTTCTTCCACGGACTTAAGAAGAGAAGAAACCAGTGCTGCATCTTTGTGGAAATCAGGATGTTTCGTGTTAATATATGCTAACTCAATCGCTACTAAGTTTTCCACCTGTAAAATTAAAATTCACAAACATAAGAATAATTCATAAGTGTATGGAATATTTTCATGTAACAGAACCATACATTACCTCAGTTCAATCATCATCAAAATATTACTGTTAAAACTTCACTGTATAAACATAAATACACTTAGATTCTAAAGGGTTCTGATGATGGTGGATGACATTAAGATTAGCTCTTTGTAAGGGGCCCCAACTTCCTTTCTCATCTGAAGACAGAAACAGATCCAGTTTCCGAAACGTTGTGACCTCTATTACCTAGAATTCTGGACGATGGAAAAGGATCCCAGCACAGCAGGTTATCCCAGTCACATTTACTACAACCTTAATTAAAGACTGATCACATGTGTCTGCATAAGACACATTAATATAGATTAATAAATGTACAATATTAATTTAAGTTGTATTCAATTTTAAGCAGCAATCATTGCTTTGACAGATATTTTTAATAATAATACAGTATTGTATTTCAATACTAATAGTGTACAATTTGATTAGTAACAGATTTTTTTTTTCTGTGGTGCTACAGCCCCAATTTGGACCTAGGCCTACCTCCATGAAACTCTCCGCTTCACTTCAGTTTACTAGATCTTACACATATGGTAGAACTCCTTGGGCGAGTGATCAGCTTGTCGCAAGGCCTTTACCTGTAGACAAACACAGAAAAGCGCACACAAACATCCATGCCGAGTGGGATTCGAACCCACGATCCCGGCTTCCGAGCGAGCGAAGACAGTGCATGCCTTAGACTGCTCGGCTACCGTGACCGGCAGTAACAGATTATAGCAACGCATATATACAGTATTCAACTATTCAATTTAGCACAGATAATAACATAAATGTGAACAATATAGGTGTATATATCATTTAATCAAAATTTGAATTAAATATTGTGATACTATATAACCTATTAATGTAAAATATGGATCCATATTAATCCATTAATATATATCATTAATATTTGATGTATGCCGGCAGAGGACCTAAAGAAGGGTCAAAACATGTAGCACTAACATCTGCAACAGGCTGCGCCATAGCTCAAGCAGTTAGTCGCTGACTTCCCACCGCGGTGGCCCTGGTTCAATCCCGGGTCTGGTCAAGTGGGATTTGTGGTGGACAAAGTGGCGCTAGGGCAGGTTTTCTCCGAGTACTTCGGTTTCCCCTGCCAATCTTCATTCCATCAATTGCTTCACAATCACCCTCACCTATCATCTGGGGCTGGTACAATAGGCCAGAAGTGACCGCAGTACTAGAGACTTAGTCCCACCATACTAGCAATAAAAAAAAACATGTGCAACAAAAAAAGAATGCTGATACTGTACAATCTAGTTCATTTGGTTTCAATAATTTATGTTGACTGTCCTATTTATATATATATGTTTTAACTAAATTATTCATAAATCATTTGACCTGTTTCTACCATCTACTAACATATTATGAATTATTCATGGATGTTCAAAATGTTCTGTAGTGATACAATGAATACTGAAATCATACGTATATGTCTCTGTTTTTAGACCATGCAAAATAAAGCAAATTCAGTGGAAAATGATTTAGCGTTAACATATAACACAGAACTGGTTCAATGAATGGGGAACAAAATGATCATGCAGATTAAAATATCAAATATTTCATGATAGTAATCTACTAGTAGCAATGATAACTGACATCATTATGTACAAAGTTTACACATTAACAAAAATACCTAAGAAAAGAAAACACCTTTCCATATGCTTTAAAGTTTCTTAAAAAGTGCAGCAGAGATCTACAGTTCTCTAAAATTACATGTCTTGGATATTAATTTTTACCATAACATTTGTTGCAGGCAACCGCCTCCTCAACAGATGAGTAACAACATCAACAATCCGTTCATGCAGTCTAGGAAAGCGCAACATTTCCTGCTGAACCTCTGTACCACAATGCTGGATAATTCGCTGCATTTCCTCATGAACCAACTCCACACACCGCAGTGATGGTTCCTCAAGACGGCGGATCTGCCGTTTTACAAGTAGTTCAAATGAAACCTGAAAATGCGTGTTTCTTTGTAGTACAGACAACATAAAACAATGCACCAATATAAATTATACATAAATGTAAAGGTAGATGTCAAATTGTCCCTGTGCTTAATTAATTAGGCACCATGCCATGCAGGCATATGGGGGAATGAAGTTACAGCTCCATCACTTGGCACTAGGTACAATAAATTATATGTAAATGCATTAAATATAATAATAGTTAATTGTCAACACAACAAAGTGAACATAGAATAGGGACATGCATGGAACCTACATGTTTAATCCTGAGCATGATAGAACATGTGGTAATTATATATACGAGTAATATGGAAAAAAAATGGTACCCCCCAAAAACTTGAAGACTAAGTTTCATAATTTTGAAATCTGTTGATATACTTAAGAAGCAGTAAAAGTTGTACAAATATTATGTTCCTGGACATTATCCATTGTCAAGTTTTTATTTATTTATTTATTGCTTTTTGAACACACTGCTACATTTCAAAATTATGAAATTTAGTCTTTAAATTCATTTGAGGACCAGGTTTGACCATATTATTTATACATGTTTAGTGTATGGGTTGAAATGAATAATTGGCTAGATAAATTAATGCCACGGAGGAGATGCACATGGAAATTTACTGACACAAAATGTCTGAGTTAACTTTAATTTCAGTGTTCTCTTTTTCAATGCTGTACATATAATGGTTAAGAAAATACAGCCCCTTAAACACCCCAAATGAAATTCTGGTTATTCTGCACTGTAACACAGAACATATGGACAACCATGATATTTGGTACTTTATGATATAATACCAAAACACAATTCAGGAATGGGGAAAAAATAATGTTGGGTAAATGGAGAAGAATATCACTACTGGATTTAGCAAAATAAAAAGCGGCCTCTGTAGTCTAGAGGTAATGTTCCCACCTCATGACTCATGGTATGCGGGTTCAAACCCGGTGGAGGTCGTCGAATTTTTAAGGGCGTAAAAATTCAGGGAACAAGTCCTCCGGGAGGGACTTTAAGCTGTGTGTCCCGTGTCGTAGCTTTACGGCACGTAAAAGAACCTCATATCTCCAAAGGAGGTCACTGAGCCAAATTCAAGGACGTTTCCCGCCCAACAGTAATCTCTAATGCCTCTGATAGATGGGGGAAGCATTATAGATACCACCAAGCTAGTGGAGGCCGAACTCGCTGGCTCGGTCGGAACTGATGGTACGCACCAATATCGGTAGAGTATAGAGACTGGTAGAATATCATAGAGGGAAGCACAATGGACCAATACTGGTCTAAGAGCATGGGGAAACCCACCCTCTCCAATAACTAACTAACTAAGCACAATAAAAAGACTCCACTTGGCACACAATAAGTGTAAAACACCTTCACCTGTGGATTAAGTGATTAAAACATTAATAAAATTCATGTGTCTTGACTTCTATGGCTTTCTGTACAAATTCTGTGCCATGAAATTTCACATAAAATATGAAAAATAAAAAAAATTCTATACATAATGGACTCTTTATAACAAAATTGAGAATTCATACCTCAGGAACGAACAATGCTGGCCTTGGTCCAGTAGCATTCCTAATAGCTGTCAAAATATCCATTTTTGTCAGACCAGCAAGAGGATGAATTGAGTCTAAAGTTCTTCCAAATGTTTCATGAAATATATAACATATCCTGGCACCTCCACACCTATACAAATATCACACACATTAGTGATTTCTATCTGTTTTGAATAAAACGCACGTCAAGGAAAAAAGCTTCAACAAAAAAGCTGTACAGGAAGAAATAAGCCAGTAAATAAAAAGAAAAATCTTCTATATTTTATATATACTTACATTCACACTTTCATCTGTAACAAATTTACATATTTTTATTATACCAGATATACAGTACGTAATGTAATGTAATTATGAATTAAAAAAATATTGTAGAAAGGCTACTGCATACACAAAAGTGGAAAATTTCAACATACTTAGGGCGATGATGCTATCTAACTTTCCATGTGGTCACTGTTATGAAGACTGCACAGGTCATAGACATGAGTAAAATCCTGTCATGTGTTGCCAAGTATGTCAGGGGGTGATTGAGGCAAATGAACTGGTAAAGCTCAGGCAGTATGTGGGGTCACTGGCCATAAAGAATGTCTTTAACATGACCTTAGACCTTCATTTGGAAGTAGGTCATATATGTTGTTTGTTGCTACTGTTGCTTCTGAAGGATTGTTGTTTTGGATGACTTTGTTTGTTTGTTTTCCTTTGTTTGGTGCCTCTTACTTTTTGCCATGCTGTAGTGTTAGTAGTTTCAGTGATGTCCCCATCTTGTTCATCATCAGTGGTGGGGATTGTTCTGTGCAGTTGGTTGCATTGATTTGGTAATGACATTGGGTCATCTATAGTCGGTTGGGAATTGCATGGGAGGTTAAATGTGTTAGGTAAGAAATGTTGATTTTGCATGTGTATTGGAATTTGTGTTGGTGGAGTTACTTGACTAATGATTGTTGGCTGCCACTGGGTACTTACGGGTTGAGGATATTTTAATTGAAGGAGAAAGTGTGAGATTGCATTAAGTGGAGGAACTGTTTTGGAAGAGACTGTGGACCTGTCGTTTGACATCTTACTGATGAATGAAGAAGAAGTTGTTTGGAATGAGTCAAGGGAAGTGGGGGCCATGGTACTGCACTGGACCTCCTGGCACAGATGTCATGCACTATGACAGGTCCCATCCTGCTGGACAACAGAAGTGGCAAGCAGTCCTGTGTCCTGAATTTATAGCACTGCATATAGTTCCATCATGCCTAAGTATAAACCCAGTCAGTTTCCACTACAAACAAAGGGCCACAGTCCCTCTTATGGATGTTACAATTCCAAAGAGAGAGAAAAAATTGTTCATGGGATCTTATAACAAAACTTTGACAGGAAGCATCATTATTGGGGAAGGTAGTTCAAGAGTGAAAACGAAACAAAATGCTCTAGGTTCAATGAAGAGAAACTCAATGTAAACAGTGCTAGCCAGAACATTCCATGTAAAAATCCCTAGATGCACTGCACAGGATACAATGCATTAATGTGGACATTTTATGGAGGCATAAGGAATGGGTGCATAACAAAAGGGACCACTTCTATCATTTATTGTGATTCAAAAGATAATGTGATAATAGGCAGAAACCTGACAAAAGTTTTGGAGGCACCTCTTCAATCCATCAAAATGTGCAAGTATATAAATTGGATGAATCTAAGTCAGGTTACTGTATGAAAATTTAAACTGCACAGGATATTCTGGTACAATCAAACATGAGTCCAAGTGTAGTCCTATAATTAGTAGAGCCCATTTTGGATAAAGGTTATACTCTTACTTACTTACTTACCGTATTTATGCATGTATAGGCCGCAGCACAATTTTCAGACAGAAATTATAGAAAAAATAATTTTCTTGGAATATTATTTCAGGAGTATTACACCCTGTATTACTAATTATGAATATATATATTTTTTTTAATGAAGTGTGATTTCGAATATTTCGAATATAAGCCGCACCCCTGTTTTCCTCTTGAATTTTTGGCAAAAAATGTGCGGCCTATACATGCGTAAATATGGTACTTACTCACTCATGGAGCTGAGCCCTTCTGGAGGAGCTGCCAATTCTGCAGCTACTCAAGAATTTCCCAGCATTTTATGGAACCCGAAGGTTCATCACCGTATTCACAAGAGCCCTCCACTGGTCCCTATCCTGAGCCAGATCTATCCAATACATACATCCCATCCTATCTCTCTAACATCCATTCTAATATTGTCCACCCACCTACGCCTTGGTCTTCCATGTGGTCTCTTTCCTTCTGGCTTTCCCACCAATATCCCATACACATTCCTCATCTCCCCCATTCGTGCTACATGACCTGCCCACCTCATCTTCCTTGACTTGATCATTCTAATTATACTTGGAGAAGAGTACAAGTTATGAAGCAAAGGTTATACTCACTACAATAATTGATATTCTTCACAAAATCTGCATGTGAAGTTCCATGAAAGGAAGGCAAATGTGGAAATTGTAAAGAGCAATGGGAAAGAATGTCTGAAGATTTGAGTTCAAGAAAACTAACTAAAAGGGAAAGAGAGAAAAGGTAAAGCCATGGCTTACTGGCTCTCACGTGACATGGCAGGATGGATGTGTATGTTATCATCTGAACATCCAACTGTGGAAATGGTGGCAAAAGGAAAGAAGAAACAGCAGAAGGGAAACCTCAAAAGACCTGCAAGACTTCAAGCATTACTTTTCACAGCACATTCCACTAAAGAAAATGAAAATTTAGGTAAAACCTGGAAGGTCTGCGCTTCACACACAATAAGGAGACAAATATCTTGGGAATGTATGAATTGTAGATAGATACACGTTCCTGTGTGCCTTAAAGTTCCTTACTCCTTAAGAATTATTAAGCAGTAAGACTCCATGACAGTAAGACATTTAGCAAGTTTGAGCTAACAGCAGTAAGGAGAGTTTAGGAGAGAGTTAACAGAACAGAACAAGAACTGAGTTGGTAAAACAATAACATATATTAGTAACTTGTGTGTTTAACCCTGTAAGTCAGGCATTTCAGTGGACTGGGTTACCTCTAGGAACAGAATTTAAAGAAACACATTCGTTTCAGTTCTATTAAAAAGAAAATATCACAATATTAAAACAATGTCCAAAGAGAATGAAATATCCTGTCAACTACTTCATTAGTCTGGCATGCACACAACCAAGTAAGTTTTAATCATCTCAGTGGTCATGGTGTACAGAATACCCCACCTACTGAAAAAAAGATATTAATATCAAAAATAAATAAAAACTTACAATTCTGTTGTTTCAATGTTTCTCGCTGTACCTTCTATGGTAGAACAATATGCTGAAGCAAATTTGGTGATAATCTGAAGCAATGTTTGACTTTTATCTGACACGTCTTCCCCGTAGGAATTGAGCAATGACTGAAACTGTGACACCATGACATTCACTCTAGTCTAGAAAAAAATAAAAATACAAGCAAATCAGACTTAGCAGAAAGACAAAATAAATATCCACCACCAGTGTATTTGCTGTACACCACCAATTACATGTATTTACAGTACTGAAACATTCCTGTCAAAGCCTGAAGTTTACACGTAAATTAAAATCTCTGTTCCATTCTCAGCACCATAAAAAATCCCCCAAATGTATTTTTCTAGATTTATAAACCCTGGTAATTTTTTAATTGTACCTGAAGATAGACATATATATTTATGTTTATATATAGAGGGAGCCAATTAACATCATCATCCTGAATAAGTCTTATTATCCATCGTATCAGGAAACACATCAGACACAGTTTGTGTGGTTTCGAGGGAAAATATGATGCATAAAACAGACTGATATCTTGCATTTTTTATGACAAATCAAGGTCAACTTCACCTATTTAAATGGAACTTAATTTTTCCACTCCCACAGAAACTGCAGAGCAGATCAATATGAATCCTGTGACCATAAACTAAGTGCCATTCCGATGCACCATTCACATAAACTCCATGGCCTGTAGTCTGCAAGCGAACTATACCAACCGAGCAACCATTGCTTGTTGGCGAAGTTAGTGCCAACTTCAGTGGATAGAGGGTCGTGGTCAAGTGAACTATACTGACCAAGCAACCATTGCTTGTTGGCGAAGTTAGTGCCAACTTCAATGGATAGAGGGTGTCATGTGGTCAGCGCAACAGATCCCCACAGCCATTAATTTCGGTTTTCTAGACTGGAGCCAATATTTCCTCGAAATAGCTCCTCAATTATCCTCACGAGGCTGAGTGGAACCCATTCCAAACTGACTACTTCTCAGAAAACCTGGTGGCGCCGGAAATCGAACCCAGGACCTCTGGATCTGTAGTCAGGAACTTTGATCACTCAACCACAGAGGTGTTCCATTGAGAATATGTTGTGTAAAAAAAGAAAGCAGTATACAACAGTTCGCTCCTGCACTCTGAGTCACTATATCACATTAACAGTGCACTGGAATGTTAATTTATTGTCATTGGATTTTCACATGCATGAATGTAACTACAGATAAGTTTTGGATTGATGATTGGATTTATTGGACTCTTTGACTACACTTTACAATTTACTATTACCTACACAGACTAGTGTCCATAGTAACGTCTTCATTAGCTGTTGCTCAGCACCGGCTTTCAATTGCGGATGTTCCCCCTTTCTCTGCAGTCCAGAATTATCTCCGGCTTCAGCTACAAGCTTCTCACAGCAACAGCTCATGACAACTGATCCTCAGCAGTTCTCTCATTCACCTACTAACTCAACTCAACTCTCACTATCCAACTGTCCCATTTATAACATCATGGCATGGACTTCAGAGAAAACACGGTTCCACTATTCCTGGGAAATGTGATTGTAGAAACATCCTTGTTTGCAAAGCCATTATTTAGCAAAGGCTGTTATGTAGCTGCTTCTTTCAGTCGTTGCCTAGCTATCTTCTTGTAGACTGCATATGCATGCAAGTTTGAACAAGTAAAAGTACATTTTGCTTGCTATTTTATTGCAGTAGTTGGTGAGTGACTGTGCAATAAACTCAAAGACTATATGTTGCATGTCAGACTCAACACCATAACTATTATTTAGAGATTGGATTTCTATTTCTGATGTAGTGATAGATCTGCATATGCACGTCTGAACTCGATGCTTTACTAAAACCAATGGGCATGCTAAATTTACTTTCACATTGTACAGAATGATTAATGACAACTCCAGCCAGTGCGACTCCATTATATATTTATATTAAATGCCCTTACATGTTTCAGTCAAATTATGACCATCTTCAGAAGGCACAAAACCTTGCTGAGGTAACTATTATTACAAAGATCATAGTACATCAAATTGAGTTAAAGTGTTATATGAATATTTAAGTAATATATATATATATTTTTTTTCATTAGCACTACAGCCCCAGTGGGCCTAGGCCTACCTCCATGAACTTCTCTGTTCACTTCGGTTTTTCTACATCTTAGACATATGGTAGGACTCCTTGGGCGGGTGATCAGCTCGTCACAAGGCCTCTACCTGCACACAAACACAGAAAAATGCACACAAACATCCATGCCCTGAGTGGGATTCGAACCCACGATCCCAGTTTCCATGCTAGCGAAGACAGTGCATGTCTTAGACTGCTCGGCTACCGTGATCGACTAAGTAATATATAGTTGGGTTAAAAGTTATTAAAATTCTTAATATTTAAAATCTTAAACCACTAAGGTTCATGTCTTCATGCCTCTTCTATTAATGGGAGATTTGGGGTGATATTTTGTCCTTAGAGGTCTGGGCTGTGTTGCTTTCTCCTTTTTATATAACTGGTTAAGAAACTGTGTTGATGAGCTGCTTTTTCTTCTGCTGTTTGCTGAGGTATTAGAGGGAGATTTCATTAATCATTCTACAATATTTAACTAGTGTGTCGGACAAGAATGAATAAAGCTTACTTTCACACTTGCACAACACTTAAAAACTGGAATTAATAATGGAACCATTGCATGCAGCAAGATTTAGTCAACATCACAAGACAAAAGCATGCCAGATATTCTATTCAGACCTTCGTTACTGTAATAAGTTCATGAAAAGAAATCCCATGGATGACCCCTTCCACATCTCCCTCAAGCAGTTACAAGTTCTGCTCCAGTATATTTTCCTATATTCCCAGCCATTCTATTCATAGCAATGTTAATAGTGACAACCGTGTCGTGACCTTTGTTACCGACAAGAGCTTTGGGGCTGGTGAGGCTTCCATGTAGGTGTTAAGCCTAGTTCTTCTTAAATGCTTTGAACACATGCGATGTTTCAAGATATTCTTCATATGGTAAGTATCATGAAGATGAACAAACTGACCGAGTAAAATACATGCTACAAAAATGTATTAAAGTTGGGGTATATCTAATTCAGATACTTTTCATGACCATAAAAATTATTTTTGCTCTTTCACAAATCTTGCTGTTATTTAACCATTGTAATAGTTCAACTACATTTCACTTTTTCTGTAAACTGAAGTTTGATTTATGGTCATTTTATTCATGACAAGAATCGTCATATGAGGCTATGAAGCTTACCTTCAAATCTGGTAAACAATCCCGGATGTGGTGCATAAGAAGCCTATTCAGAGTTTTAGCAAGGTAGGGTGTGCCATTCCTGTTTGCCAAGGTTGGGTATCTTCTCTGCAGAAAAGCTGCTTCATCTTTTAAGGCATCTTTAATGCTCTAAAGACAAAATCATATATAATTTAAAACATAATTATTAATGTAAAATATGTAATACACTAGTAATAATACTGTATCACATCATACCTTATTATTCATTATGTCCTGCTGTGATCGATTCACAATTCCAATTATTCCAAGTTTTACAGGGATCACACGCCCACACAAAATGTCTATAGCATCAGTACCTGCAGAACGGACAAGAAAAGGGAATATATGGCTCCATTAACAGGTTAGACATCTTACCTATGTGAATACATATATTTAATAATGTGTTTCAATGTAAATAAGAGCGAACATTTTCAAATCGATTCAGACATACACACTGTTAACACAAACAACCACCATAATCTTCAAAAACTAACTGCCAACCTCTCATGTTTTCAGAAAGTTCATAATATGCTGGAGTCCGCACTGAAACCGGGAACAGGAACAACACAAAAACAAACATCCATATGGTATTTTCAATTTAAGTTTAATGCAAAACCTGTTGACTGTAGATTTAAGAATATTAAACTTTTTGACAGTTTCTATGAAGATGCACAGTATACCAGCTTAACACTCAATAAACATATCTGAAGACGATCAATAATGACTGAAACATGTTGTACAAACACAATCAGTGACAGCAAATGTATAGTGATAACATTGTTAATTATTAATAAAATCAGTTACTAAGAAGTCAATAAGGAGTTGTAAAAAAAAGGACAGCAAACATGATCCTAAATATAAGTGAGCTTGCATATTTGGACATTAGTTTATTTTACAAATTATGGAAATGTTTTAATTCTATCTGTCATTACCCAACAGATACTGGCAAAGAATCCCTGCACATGAGATGTGAAATGGTATATTAGCGGCTAAGAGAAAATATCCGTTTGTTCACTGCTGTGTGCTGTGCTGTTACACCGCTGTCAAAGCCTTGTGACATAGTATTTAATACCGTATTTACGCATGTATAGGCCGCGTGCGCGTATAGGCCGCAGCACAATTTTCAGACAGAAATTATAGAAAAAATAATTTTCTTGGAATATTATTTCAGGAGTAGAACACCCTGTATTACTAATTATGAATATAATTTTTTTAAAATAAAGTGTGATTTCGAATATTTCGAATATAAGCCACACCCCAGTTTTCCTCTTGAATTTTTGGCAAAAAATGTGCGGCCTATACATGCGTAAATATGGTACTTTACAACCCTGCACTACACCAAAACACATGTGCAAAACATACTAGTGTTTCATGTAGAGATATTACACATCATATTAACATTGACTAGTAATATTTAACCATCAACACAGATAATAGCACGAGAAGATTTTATCAACTTCACCCACTGTGAAAGCTTCAGGTCTTACAACTGTGACTTATCTCTATATCAAATATAATGGCATCACATACATATATCTGGCAATGAAAGCGTACGAAATATGTATATAAAAATGGGAATTAATAAGTACAGTGTCATTTTTATTCACAGTTAATGTATCAATGGAAAAGACAGTTGAGTTTTTCAGAACTGTAAAATGTACTATTTGGAGAAAACTGCATAATGAGGTATAACTGACCCACTCAGTGAGACTTCAAGCCCCACAAGTTAGTCGCCACTTATAACTCGCCGTCATGTTCGCCTACACATTTGGCGCCACTTATAACTCACCACTTTGTGTTCTGTGTGGCCCGTTTGTTTGGAACCACTTATAACTGACACACTCTGTGAGACTTCAAGCCCCACAAGTTGGTCGCCACTTATAACTGTCCTCTTAGTGCCCTTACGTTGGTCTCCACTTTCATTCACCACTTCCTTGTTGTCATCTGGTTCAGGGTAGGGTGTAGGATTACTCTGAATTTGAATGTGTATGGGCGCCAGTGGGCTTGGGTGAAATCCATGAATTTGGAACGGGGAAAACAAAGGTGGGACGTGGATAGGCGGGCGTTTGGGGTTTCGGCTGCTCAGACAGTAGGACAAGATTCTGTCTCAGGGCGACTTCTGGGCCTTGCTCACACAAGGAGAGAGAGAACACTTAAAACACACACTTCACCAACACTGTTGCCCTTTACTGTAGATGTGAACTAGAATTACATATTACAAGGCTGTAGCACTTTTGAATTTGTGTACTGAACTTGGCCAACACCGATTTAACGTCCGGGAGGTTACTCCTGTTACACATGAATATGACTGACCCGTTACTCACTAAGACGACTGACTCCTGTTACTCCTGTAACCGTTCCACTGCTACGCAACTTATTTAATGTAATCAACTTTACTAATTTGAAAGCTTAATTGTTCAAAATGAAATGCAGTTAACAAGGGTAGTGAGACATAGGTCAATTCTTGTATGTAAGAGTAAGCGTCTTCTCAAGCTTACAAGAAACAGGAAGACACCCGTCAAAGGTTTATTAGTGGAAAGCTGCGTTAAAGAATAGGGCAAAGAAATCTTTTGTAAATTCAATACTTGGCAGTTTGTAGATGCCATAACTTAAAAAGAGTGAAGTTTTTAGGGCCCAAGCGACGCTTAAGCATTTGTCACTTTCTGACAGAAATACGGTGGAGTCAAAAATCCTTAAACGCTTGTAAGCTTTAAGCGGAGTGGAGGAATATCTAATTAAGATACTCCTATTTTTCAAAATTAGCCAATCACTAATATTTAAGGGTGTGACAGGGCAGTGACGCTGGTGAAAGCAGGAATTGAAGGTTTGAGGAAGCGTCATGTTTTAGCATCATTCGGAAACCGGGGGTTGAAAGAAACAGACATAAATTCGGAAACTGGGGGTCGTTAGAAACAGACGTAAATTCGGAAACCGGAGGTTGAAAGAAACAGACGTAAATTCGGAAACCGGGGTCGTAGAATTAGCCGCAAAAAGTTACACACCAGGCTCCGAAGCAGTTAGACATAAAGGTTACTGACATTGAAACTGTATCAAAAGTGGTTAAACAAGTGTTCAATATAATTCGTCCAAACTTGAGATGTGCTTGTGATTTGTGTTTAATTTATTCCCTTTCTGAGTTGTGGCCCGTTCAAGGCTCTGAGATAAGAGGTCCTCAGCTCTACCAAATCAACAAAACCCCCTCCTTTAAAAATAACCCTGAGATAAATTTAGCAACAAGAAAGAAGAACCTACTAGAGGCGACCCAGCGTGTGAAGAAGAAGGAGGAGGAAGGAGGAGCAAGAAAAGGGCGGTAAGACTCCCTTTAGATGACTGACTGCTCTATTACTCACTAAGATGACTGAATCCTCCAGAGAGGCAGAAGTCTTGATGGTTCCGGGAACACCCGGTTTCCTCTCCTCTGAAATTTTTCTGATTGCCTGAACCTAAACTTTTGGTGTTTCTCTCATTTATATTCAGCCAATCCCTAACGAGATCCATGTTAATTTGTGCCTAAGTACAAGACGGTCCTTCTGACAGCTCTGACGATCGCTCAGTATGCCCCTTCAAAAATTATTGCGGCTCGTATCTCTCATGTGTCAAATTTTCAAAGACTCGTACCGCCGAAGTTAAGCATTGAAATTCCCAGAAAACGCAGCGGGATACTTCCTGCTCCGTTCTGGGTTTCAAGTGACCTGCAGCTCGCTTGTCCCTCAAAAAGACCAGATGTCAATTGTGTATCATCTTTTGTTAATAGTAATACAGTTCGTTTACTTGTAGTACATTATGATTAAGAATGTAAATCAACAACATTGCTGAGGTTCCTCCATGGTGCAGTTACAGAGGAGCTTCATAACTTGTACTCTTCTCCAGGTACAAAGACAAAACAACTCCGTCCAGTATGACTAAGTTTTTACAACTTGAAAACTTAGCACCCTTACATGTTTCGGTCCTTACGGACCATCTTCAGAGGGAACATCAATACTTATTTGGAAACTAATATCACAGTGGGTGTTCTGAGTGCTAAAATACATACACACACAATGCCTGCAATGCATAGTATACACAAAATCCAACTCTTCCACAATCACAGCAGCTTTCCTGGTATATTAAAGTTTTTAAAACCTACTTGGTTTATAAATTTTAACTTAAACAACAAAGTTTTAAAAACTTTAAAAACTTTAATATACCAGGAAAGCTGCTGTGATTGTGGAAAAGTCGGATTTTGTGTATACTGTGCATTGCAGGCAGTGTATGTATGTATTTTAACACTCAGAACACCCACTGTGATATTAGTTTCCAAATAAGTATCGATATTCCCTCTGAAGATGGTCAGTAAGGACTGAAACATGTAAGGGTGCTAAGTTTTCAAGTAGTGAAAACTTAAATAGTCAAACTGGACGGAGTTGTTTTGTCTTTGTAATTGTTAGTGTGACGAACCAGAATGAAACAAATCAAATTCTTCTCCAAGTATAATTAGAATGACCAAGTCAAGGAGGATGAGATGGGCAGGGCATGTAGCATGAATGGGGGAAACGAGGACTGCATATAGGGTAAAAAAAAAAAAAAAAGTAAAGCTATCCCTGTAACAGGCCATGAAGGCCCATAGGGTTGTGAGACGTTGAGGGTCCCACATTATCTAGACCAGTGTTCCGCAACCGGTGTGCCACGGCACACTGATGTGTTGTCACAAGGTGAAAGGTGTGACGCAAACTTTTACCTATTGTAAGAAACTAATTGTCGAATTTATTCATTTTATTTTATCCTAGTTACCATGTTTCATATGATTGTATTTTATTTTCAGCCAATGCACTGATTAAATAAGATGATGCTTGTTTATTCTTTAGTACATGCCATGAATTTTTATGTACAGTAATGTTGTATTCTAAGAAATTAAATGAAAATTATTTACTCACAGTTGTTGTTATATCATAGTTTTCATTATTGATTTATTTTTATTTTTCTCGCATCTACGCGGCTTCTTTGATCAACTTGCCGCATGTTCTGTGTACATGCTTTTCCCTAAAACTGTAGGCACTAGCAAGGGTTTCCCTGTCTTTTATAACGCTATTTTGGTTATCACGAGGAAAAGTGTTAACGCGAATATTTGAACTTAATGAGAAGGTACGTGCATTTTTGACTGTTGAGGGGCATGAGTACGCAGATTTATTTGCAGATGATGAATGGGTATGTAAGTTGGCTTATCTTTCCGATATTTTCATACACTTGAATGAGCTCAACAGAAAGATGCAAGGTAGGAACGAACATAAACTAACTAATATGGACAAGGTACAAGGATTTGTAAATAAGCTGAATTTGTGGATACATAGAATTACAGACGGGTCATTTGAGATGTTCCCGACTGTAGGTCACTTGCTGATGGCAATAAAGTGGCGATGCCCACAATTAAACAACATTTAGAAATGCTGCAGCAGAAATTCAATAAGTATTTTGGAGAGAATGTACAAGATATAGACTGGCTTCGTGATCCATTCGTTTTGTATTCAGAACATCTTCCGATTAATATACGTACAACAGGAACTCGCAGATTTAAAAGCAGACAGAACATTGGAACTAAAACTTCTCGAAGTGCCTTTGGATACGTTTTGGTTGGCAATAAGGGGTGAATACCTGGCTATCTCCGAGATGGCAGTTAATGTGTTATTGCCATTTTCAACTACATATTTGTGTGAACTGGATTTCTCGACGTTAAATGAAATTAAGACATCATAGAGGGAGCAGCTCAAATCCATCGATGAAGAAATGAGACTTGCGTTGTCAACGATTCCACCATGGATCAGTCGCCTGTGTGCAGCTACACAGGCACAAGCATCACATTGATAAGTAGAATTACTGTATTTACTTTAATAGTAATAGAAGTGTATTTTCTACACTCTACCGTGAATTAAAGTTCATTAATTGTTAATAAAAGCACAAGTCGGTTTCTGTTTAATGATAATAAAATAATAATATTATAGTAACAAGTTGATCACGTTACATATTTATATTAATTGTGCCATGCTGAGTCATGGATACTTCATGGTGTGCCGCGAGTAGAAAAATGTTGTGGAACACTGATCTAGACAGTCGGCTCAAAGATGGCGGCAAGGTTGTCAGCCTTATGCGCCGGCCATGCTTTACTCCCCAAGAAAATTATTTATTTAATTCCGGGTACTCATTTCTGTTAGAGGCTGAGTGAACCCCAGGGCCACAGTGCGGCCGGAAGGATTAGGTCAATTGAAAAAAATCCAGTGACCTCATTGGTATTTGAACCCGCGACCTTCCGACTTGTAGCATAGTGCCTTAACCACTACGCTACCTCGTGCCTCCCTGCATATAGGGTATTGGTGGGAAAGCCAGAAGGAAAGAGACCACCGGCAAGACCAAGGCAGAGGTGGGTGGAAAATATTAAAATTGATCTTAGAGAGACAGGATGGGATGGTACTGATTCGATTGACCTGGCTCAGGATAAGGACCAGGGAGGGCTCTTGTGAACATGGAAATGAACCTTCGGGTTCCACAAAATGCTGGGAAATTCTTGAGTAACTGCAGAATTGGCAGCTCCTTAAGAAGGGCTCAGCTCCAGGAGTAACTAAGTAAGCAAGTAAACTGTACTATATTCAGAAAATTGCAGTTAAGTAAGAAAATATTATGGAGATCCTACAAACCTGCATCCATCAGGTCTAGTTTCGTAACTACAGCTAATGTCCTTCTGCCATCTGGATCACATTCTTTGGCCAATTTCAGGCTCTCACTTGTAGCCATGTCTGTGTTAGCAGTCACCACTGCCAGGATGATTGAGTTGGGATTGCAACTGTACTTCAAAACGAGCTCTCGAATCTGAGACTCAATGTCTTCTGGTTGATCACCCACAGGTACCTATACAAAAAGAAAACAACTTGATTTCTGTGACAATTCAACTGCTTCTAACCATGATGAATGATGCAAACAACTCTGTGATGATAATGACAATACTTCAATGAATAGTTCAGGGTTCCTAGAGAAGAGATCCCTGTCACAGGTCTCCATACATGGAAGAATGCAAACGCAGTAATCACAATAGAAGCCACAATGATGCACTTCAAAAGAGAAAATTTATTAATTTCTTGTACCTGAAAATATTTTATATTCTATCGGAATAATACTTACGACATGAATTGATAATGAAACTTTAATTTCTGTGTCACAAGATACTTTAAATAACTTCGCGTAAGTTGTAGTAAAAAGAAGATGGAAAATCGTGTATAATTAATATCGCCAAGGAAGATATCTGTTTCCTGAGAATTCCAAAATGCAAGTCCTCTTTGAGACACTAATATCCATATTCCATTTATTTTCCAAGAATTCAAACTGATGGCATATGATGCTGATACAACCTCTCATTAGCAATTAGCTTATTCGAAGAGGGCTCCCTCAACCTTAGATGGAATATTGCCTAAGCCACTATTCAACAAAGTGAAAATCAACTCTCTATCAATGTTCATTTCACACCCGTTTTACATAAGATTTTAATATGGACTCACTACAGATTAGCCCTCTTGGGCCAACGTCATATTTCTATAATTTCAATCTTTTGCCAAATTATGGTATCAAACAACAAGGCAGATAAGAATTACTTTAATTAGAGAGATAATTTCAACCCAATCATGCCAAATAACAACAACAACAATAATAATAATATCTGACCTACAATTCAGCAGTTACACTGTGAATTCAACAATTTATAACTTACATTTTCTGGAACAGGCTAATCAAACAATCACTTCTTCCCTTGCCCATTTCTCTCTACAACTTACTGTTTAAAATATGTGATATACAGAACATCCAAAGAACTGCTTTGTGATTTGATACCATCAGAATCTTTAATTTTCCTAAATCTTCAATCTTCCTATCTACTTATCCATGGCACTTACATGTAAACTAAATTTCAGACCTTAGTTTCATCTAAAAGTGTCTTAAATAGACCATGGCAAGAGCCAATGCATACCACGAGGTGATTTAGATACAAAAAATGTATTTATTTACTGTCTTGTTTATCTTGTTCATTTGTGGTTTATTTAATGGTGTCAGTGGTTCAGCCTATGTGGCATCAAACTGCAGGATGTTTTGTGAATAATACATTGAGAAGGATGTAACAGATTTATCTGAAATACTATCCCAGCAATTTCCTCAAGCGAATGAGCACTGCCACTAGAAACCTCAATCAGTAGAGGTGGTGCTTGGTTGTGACTGAAACTGGGCACCTCCATAATACAGACCAGAATTGTTATTACTTAAGCCAATATGTTGAGTTTAATTAATGTAACACTTGTGTAACTCCTTATAATGTTTAACCATATCCAGTATATATTGAATTAACTGTGCCAGTTTGTGTAAAAACACGTCCATTGCAAAATGACACAGTATCAACTACTGCACTGTGCATGAAGTGACTATAGGTTATGATTTCATTGTGAAATGAAACTGTTTTTCAATACAATTTTAAGGTGATACACATAGACAAGCTAGTCATCTTCATAAAGGCTTGAAGTATATACAAGAAACTATGAACATAAAATAGAAACACAAAGTGAAAAGACACAATGAAAATATCCATGTGAAGAGAACAACACTCATTTTTCACTTACACATGCAAAATTTATTAATGCAAATTAAATTAAAAAATCAAAGTATAAAATATGTTTTTGTATACCTTAGTGATTCCTGGCAAGTCAACCAAAGTAAGGTTTACAACTCGTGTTGAAAAAATCTTAAGATTAATTGGTTCTGGGCAAATTCCTTTGTTGTGTCCTGCCATCCTTTCAGTTTCTCTATCAATCTCTGATCTTATTTCATTGAAGTCTGTGAAGATTTTACCCTTGACATGTAAAAATTTTCCCCATTCTTCTATGTCCAATGTACCTGTAATTAAACAGAATAATTAACATTTTGGAAGTTCTTACTGTACTTACTTTCATTATGGACAGATGCTGAGCAGGACAGTGCAGCAGTAACACTCCAGACTTGTACTGGGGAGATCTCTGCCATGAATCTCGGCTGGGACACCAGCTACACTGACTGAGGTTCTTGGTGGTTTTTTAAGAACCACCAGGCAAATGTCAGTCTAGTAGTTCCATTAGGGCACAAATGCTTCCTTCCAAATACTTAAGTCTCTATCACTGAACACTGTATCATCTGAGATAATTATATCACCATAAAATAATCACAAATTAAAATAGAGTACAGTCTTTCGGACTGTAACACTGTGTAGTTCGGAGAAAGTCCAACATTTCGCCTTTACCCTCAGGGTTCAAGAGTAAGCAAAGCAAGAACTCAGCAGAAGAAGAACCAACTGTTTTTAATGGTTTCTTATTTCGTTTACTCTTCAACCTTGAAGATGAAGGCGATATGTTTGTCTGAAACATTGGGTTATCTCCAAAGTAAACAGCATCACAGCCCAGAAGAATGCACTCTTCATAATCACTACTGTGAGAATCACAAATCCAAAACAGAAAAAAAAATGCATCATTTTATGAGCATAGCCAAGACGTTTGTCAAGAGCTTCCGTAAGATTTAACATGATCAGGATTCATAGCATACTTTTCCGTTCATCAATTCTTAAGAGAAAACTGAAAGCTGAATTCCTCCATAGATCACTTCAACCCTGTTATCTCCCATAAGATCAAATGCAAAATTACAAAACTTTAAACTAAAAACAAACGACAGTTACCTCAAAGCTGAGTACATGAAAAAAATCCTAGTATGACGACATTATGACATATAGTAGATATCATGCACCAAGGGTATACTTTCACATTGTTCAGAATACACAGTGTGTAAATAGTCATTCCTTTCATTCAAAGCACAACTGATGCAACTTGGGGGCCTTCCAAATCTGCTGGTCGCTATAGTCATTCTACCTGAAAGTGACTTGCAGAAACTCCGGTCATCATGTAGGCTATCTTGATCACATAGAGCTCTTGCTCTGTGCACGAAGGCACAAAGCAAGGCTTGATTGTTGGATGAAAGGAGGCAGAGGTCACAGTTAACATAGAGGGTGGTGTGACTTATGACCCAGGCAGACATCACGTCTCCTATAAATATCCATATCCGGAAAGGAAAGGTGGCTGCTTTTTTCCATTTCTCTAGTGAACTGCTCAAAGAAATCCTTCAGCTCCTCTGGTCCTTGGGGCTAGATAACAAAGGTAACATTCACATACAAACAGAGCACAGGGGCTTATACATTGCCCTGTCAAGTGTCACCCCCTCAAAATCTTCCATGAAGAAAACAATCATCAAGAATAATGGGGAACTCACAGCCATGCCATTGGTCACTTCAAAGAACTGGCTGCCAAGGCTGTAAAAGGAGGAAGTCATAACATGGTGCAAGAGTCTCGTAATATTCCTCTCAGAATGTATACTAAAGAGGTTCAAAGCCTCTCTGCCAAACTGCCTGGCGATAGGTGAGACATCAGAATTGACTGTGATAACATGAGATCTGGCCTGAAGGCAGCCGTCTATGTAGACAACATCTACACAGTTCATTACATGATTCAGAGAGTTGCCACCCAAACAAGAAGTGAGCCAACCTGCAGGCATTAGATGCAAGTCCCATTGGTGCTCACAACAGGTCTTAGGGGACCCCCTTACTTGTAGATTTTGCAGAGCCTGTGAAGCCTAGGAAGCTTCAATCCATGTGGCCAAAGTTGTTGGTTGATCTAACAAAGTGAGGATTTCTTGAGGAGATGAAAGATTCTGCACTCTGCAGCCTCAGTAGGGTCACTCTTAAACTTCCTGCAGGCTAGGTTCTTTAGAATAGCAGCAGTCCTCTGTATCTTCTATGCTGTCATATTGTCCTTGTCAGGTGGAAGGGGGGTGAAGCTAGCACTGACATTTAGAGCCTGAAATGACCATCATTCTACACCACTCAGACTTTCCTTGGGCTTTGAGGTAGCCTGTAGTATCCTGCTGGTTTCCTGAGCAGCCTTTTCCAGAATACCTATTGCTCTTCCATCCAACAGAAGACATCCTCAAGATGTGACATCACAGGGGGCACTACAGACATGAAACCTTTACCCGAGGCCAAGTATACCATGTCCTAAAATGCCATGTCATTCAAATTCATCTTCTTGTTACATGATGGAGATTAATGTTGAGTCCTATGCAGGTGCTAGAATTCATCACACTGTCTGATTTTGCAGAGAGCAGCAACATGCAAAATTTTCTCAACCATTATAAAACCAATAATATACATGTGATATATGCTGTAACCTATATCTGTCCAAGAGGAACATAAAATTCCTTACCTTCTTCAGCTGTTCTGTGCTCCCTGTCTTCCTTAGGACAGTATACCAACTGCAGAATCAAAGGACGTCGAGTTACAATGCCTGTGCCTCTGGGTAAAAAGGAGCGACCCACTAAACTTTCAATGACGGAGCTCTTCCCTGAACTCTGTAATGTACATATACAATACAGAAAATAACATACAGAAATGCTTTACCTACTAAACTAAAACACAGAAAGAATTCAAGGACCAGGATTTATATGTACTGACACACAAGCATGTAATTATACGAGTACTTGCCAATTTATTGTTTCTTAAACAATAAAAACTGAATCACAAATTTTATTGTGAAGACATGTATACAAATGAATTTGTCCTTCATAAACCTTCAATGGCAAGAAATTGTGCTGTATCCTTCCAATAGAGCAAACGTAAAGAGCTAATTGTATTATGTAAGTACCATCCTGGATACTGACCTGCTTAGCATGCAAACTAAAGAATAACTGTAAAACTGCTAAGGGGTTGACACTGCTGGATTCACCATGGCTACATGACACAGCCTCTTAATATGCACATTCAAACTTTTTTTAAATAAAGAATTCTAACTTCTGGGATATAATGCCACTTTTTTTTTATTGCTAGAGGGGTGGGACTAAGCCCCTTGTACTGCAACCACTTCTGGCCTATTGTACGACGGAGTACCCAAAAGAAACTGAACTAATTTTTTTGTGGGCAGAGCTTTTGTAGTACCGCGTTTTGCCGCTGTCAGCACATAGAGCTAACATTCCTGAGTCGATAAGCCGACTACTGTTGCTTCAGAAGGTAAGGACTAGTTTTGGCAGAGTTTATAGTGACAACTGTTTTGTGTGATCGTCGTTTTTGCGATGGCTGATTTTCGTGAACAGCGTGCGGCGGTGAAATTCTGCTTTTTGCTCGGGAAAAGTGGAATAGAAACTCTTGAAATGTTAAAAACGGCATACAAGGATGATGCTATGGGGAAAACAAGTGTTTGAGTGGTTTTCCCGCTTCAAAAAATGGTAAAATGTCAATTGATGACAAACCTCGTTCTGGTCGTCCTTCCACGGCCCGAACACATGAAAATGTTGAAAAAATTCGTGAAATCATCAAGGAAGATCGACGACGGACCATTGAAGAAATTGTGGAGCTGTCGGGAGTGACTTAGAGCTCAGCGGCCAGATTTGTGGCAGTCAGGTGACTGGTTTTTCCATCATGACAATGCCCCTGCTCAAACAGCCCTGTCTGTACGACAATTCTTACCTAAAATGGTATGACCCCTGTTCCTCACCCTCCATACTCACCCAACCTTGCCCCGTGCGACTTTTTTTTGTTTCCTTGAATGAAAAGAGACATGAAAGGAAAAAACGACTGAGGCGCTGTCAAGCATCTCAAAAGATGAATTTAGACAATGTTTTGAAAAATGGAATAAAAGAGTAGACAAGTGTATTAGTGTAAGTGGAGAGTACTTTGAAGGGGACTGAAGGTTTGTGCTTAAAATTTGAATAAATAAGTTTAAAAAAAATAAGTTCAGTTTCTTTTGGGTACCCCCTCGTACTAGCCCCAGATGATAGGTGAGGGTGATTGTGGAGCAATTGGTGGAATGAAGATTGGTAGGGGAAACCGAAGTACTTGGAAAAAACCTGCCCAGTGCCACTTTGTCCACCACAAATCCCACTTGACCAGACCCGGGATCAAACCCGGGCTGCTGCGGTGGGAAGCTGGCAACTAACCACTTGAGCTATGGCGTGGCCTTATAATGCCACTTAGTCTCGTGAAAGTCAACCAATGTTTCAGAGCAATATGTCACCTCCATCTTCAGGGTCAAAGAATAAGCCAAGCTCTGCTTGCCACATGCTTCAGTCTGGTTTCTTACTGGAACAATTTCTATTGAAGCTTTCCATGACTGAAACAATTCTATTAGGATCTGCAAGAAGGGCACTGGTTATAGAAAAGTATTTTTGGTGCATAATCCAGCACCAACATCTGATACCAAACTATTTAAGCATATGACTATATGCATACTGTCACAAAAAAGAACACAATGTAAGGCACAATTTCACTTCAAGTTGCTCATGAACAAAGTTAAATGAATAGTTTCAATAAAAGCAATCAAAATTATTACTACTTAAAACAACGAAACAAACCACTATCCATATAGAAAATATTATGCAAATGGGCAATACTTGGAGCCCTTATCATATGTCACAGAAGAAATAAGAGAAGTACTACATTCTTATGATCTTATATTTTTAAATTGTAGGCACTTAAGTAGATATTCATCTCTCCCATGTGAGAACTTGTATGACACTCCATTACAATAAGTGGAAGTAGATCTGAACAGAGAAACTCTTAAGTACAGCACTTACTGTGAGTGCAAATAAAAAACCACTAATCAATGCCTTTTTCTGCATGGTCACCTCATTTTATCACCACATACCTCTCCCATTTCTAATTAACTCCAAATCACTTCCCCCCCCCCAAAAAAAAGAAAAACAAAAACAAACTCTTTGGCCTGTAGAGAACTATACTGACTGAGTGACCGCTGCTTGTTGGTGAAGTTTAAAAAAAAATTAAATTCACATAGTGGGGGGTGGAGTCCAGTTGGGTCCACTCGGCATGGCGGCCACTGATTGGCCTATTGTACCTGCCAAAGGTGATTATGATAATGGAGAATTTGGTGGAATGAAGATTGGCAGAGGAAACCGAAGTACTTGTAGAAAACCTGCCCCAGCACAGCTTTGTCCACCACAAATCCTACTTGACCAGACCTGGGCCGCTGTGGTGGGAAGCCAGTGACTAACTGCCTGAGCTATGGCGTGGCCTTTGTCGGTGAAGTTACTGCCAACTCGAGTGGATAGGTGTCCCATGGTCAGCACAATGAATCCCCATGGCTGTTAATCTCAGTTTTCTAGGCCGGAGTTGCTATTTCCTAGAAATATCTCCTCAATTATTCTCAAGAGGCTAAATGGACCCCATTCCAGATGCACTTCTCACAAAATCTGGTAGCGTTGGGAATCAAGCCCAGGACCTCTGGATCTGCAGTCAGGAACCAGAGTTCCTAGACCACAGAGGTGGTAAACTTTCCCAACACATAACCATTATTTGGACCACATCAACAATGCAGCTAAACCATGCATTATGTCCTGTACCAATGCAAGTATTACATCAGGAATTTTTGATGGATAATTACACTGATCATAATTCATAATAACTTGCAGGAGTTACCTATTTATGCTTTTATGCTAAAGGATCACTTCTGTTTTACTTGATAAGTGTTGAAACTTATTGTATTGGAAGGCTAGCAGCACCTAATTCAATTTTTTATAACTAAAAATAAAACAGTTTGGCTATTTGGAACACACAAACATCACTCCTGTCTGTTCCAGGATAGATTATTTGACATTAACAAGCTACTTATTGCTCAAGAATAGACAGCAGACAAGTTTCTGTATACACTGCTGTTTGTAGAAACATAGCAATAATTCATTCATTCATTTATTTAGCATTCATTAATTGCTACAACAGTAACACCTGAACAAGTCACATCACTAAATACATCATTCTTGAAATCCTTTTGTCCGAATTTGTCAACAATAAATAATTACTCTTGACATGGTTAAACCTACAATTAAAATAACATACTATCAAAACCAGATAAATACTCAAATTAGATACAATACATAAACCAAAAATGCAAGTTGATTTAGAAAAATTCCTATCTTACTAGCTTTGTTAACCTTATGAGCACATCCATGCACACCCACTAATTTTAAACACTTACAATATCCTAATACAATATCAGAGGTTTTGGAATTTCACAGCAGGTATGAACAAAACAAACAAAACACGCTGTTACGAAACCTGTCTATGTTGCCCACCTATGATTTCACTCCAACACAACCAGCTAAGCAGGTCGACAGGATAGTGTTAATATTTGGTATTTTTGTGTCTACAGTTAACTACATACTTAAATGTTGTTACATGTTACTTCTGCCTCTTTTTAAGGTTTTTTATGTACTTTATTTTGTTTCTGGACCTGTGGCTACTCGACACATCACGTACCTAATATCATATTACTGAATCTAAAGTACCCAAATGGCTACAGTAATTTGAATAACAAAAGAAAACGCCATTCAGTGGTTCATTGACTAAGGATCTATTACAAAGAAAAATCAGCAAGGGTGTTTACAGGTCACGTGAAAGAAGTAGAGCATTGGAAACATTTATACAAAAATGTCACTTTTCAGTTTGGCCAATGCAAATTAAACAGTTACAGAACTATAACATGAAAATCCTTCCCCAAGGGGTGAAGCGCCGGCGGCTTTAAGGTGAACACTCACCTCAATCTAGTGCAGAGGTCAACAACAGTGGAGCTATACTTGCACCCCCCCAATATGACTTTATGGCATGGTGCTTAATTAAGCTCAGAGAAAACTTACCTTTACAATGAAATTCAAGAGGGTGGACAAAGATACTAGATAAGCAGGAGGCTAGGTTAAAGTGGTTTCGGTACACACAAATTAACACGATTTCGCCGGTTACCCATAAAAGAGGCCAATTGTGGTACACGGGTACTTAAGGAGTTGGCCAACTTCATAGGTTTCATTGCACTTTAAAACTGATAATTCTGCAGCTCCAAACCTAACCTTACATTTACAGACCAAAACCAAAACGTGGCCCGCCATGGAATTATTTCACATTAACACAAACACCACTTAAAGCACTTTCACGAATATATTTTATCTTATAATACCTGAGTTCCAACAACAATAATTTGAGGTAACTGAACTGCATCAGCCCCAACAGTATTGAATACATCTTGTAATTTATTTATTACAGGTATCAATGCTTCCATGTTCAAAGAAACAAATATTCACTCTTTTGCTTCAGAGCACTCAAATAACACCAGTAACATCCTCTTCTTTGCCGTTGTTCAAAACACAGACCCTCACCGTGCTCACCGTCAGGGGCGTCAGGGGCAACTCAAGTCAGGGGCAGGGGGATGCAACTCAATTCTATTGGCGGGCTACATAACCGCCGTGACGTCATGAAGCATCACTGCTGCCACGGTGCCCGGAGGCAGATCTTTTGAAATAAAAAAATTCCTATCGCCAGTGCCGAGGGCTCGGTCGGTAAGAAGGTATTCTATCATACCACCTGCCCTGTCGGTAAGAAAGTATGCTATTATACCACCAGAACTTTTTACTGCTCCCTTCCGAAAAATCATTGGTTCACACGTATTGCTAGAATTAATAATCGATGTAAATGAAATGCTCGTATTTTACAGGCACTGGTGGGAAACTTTCTCCAGATAAATAATGTTGCAACCTGATATCTTGTACTGCAGAGGTTCTTACTCCGTTGTGTGTTTTCTGTTTTCAAACTGAGTTTAAATCACTTCGCTCAAAACCATGTGGAGGGAATGAGTTAAATGATGTTAAACTCAGTTCAAAAACAGAAAACGCACAATGGAGTAAGAAACTCTGCAGTACAAGATATCAGGTTGCAACATTATTTATCGGGAGAAAGTTTCTCACCAGTGCCTGTAAAATAAGAACAATTCATTTACATCAATTCAACACCCCCTTATTGAAATTCAATGGATATTTGAACTGTAACATATATAGAATACTTGTGTTTAGGAAAGTTGATGGTGGGTAAACTTGAAAGAAAATTCTGTTTCCATCAGAGATACTTGTATTCAACTTCATAACTTTGCTTACAACTTATACCTGAAAGCTGCACAGAACATAGTTTTTCAGTTACATTAATGTGTTATGTATCATGTACATGAAGTAATAATACTCAGGTTTCCATTTGTTATTAATTTCAGTACTATAATGAAACTTGAGAATCTGATACTCTCTCTCGTTAACAAGATTAAAATTGCATTTAATAATATATGAAAAGCAGAACTGTTACAAACTTTTGTTTCATTCTGGTCCTAGAAAACTATAATTTTGCCTGTGGTTCTTTATGGGTGTGAAACTTGGTCTCTGACATTAAGGGAGGAACACAGAATGAGGGTGCTTGAGAACAGGGTGTTGAGGAGAATATTTGGACCAAAGAGAGATGAAGTGACAGGAGGTTGGAGAAAACTGCATAATGAAGAGCTTCATAACTTGTACTCTTCTCCAAGTATAATTAGAATGATAAAGCCAAGGGTGAGACTGAGGGTGCTTGAGAACAGGGTGTTGAGGAGAATATTTGGACCAAAGAGAGATGAAGTGACAGGAGGTTGGAGAAAACTGCATAATGAGGAGCTTCATAACTTGTACTCTTCTCCAAGTATAATNTGATCCGTCACACTAACAATTACAAAGCCAAAAATAACTCCGTCCAGCAAGCCACGAAGAAACACGGACGATACTACGAATCTCCTTCACAAGACAGACAGGCGGCACAAGTTCAGCCCTCTCCAAGAAAGACGATAGAAGTGACACGAACTTGCATGGTTTATAAAATTTTGACTTAAACAACAAAGTTTTAATACCAGGAAGGCTGCTGTGATTGTGAAAAGGTGAATATTGTGTATATTGTGTATTTCAGGCATTGTGTGTGTATGTAATTTAGCACTCAGAACACCTATTGTGATAGTGGTTTCCGAATAAGTATTGATGTTCCCTCTGAATATGATCCATAAGGATCGAAACATGTAAGCATGCTGAGTTTTCAACTGGTAAAACTTAAATAATCACACTGTATGGAGTTGTTTTTGTCTTTGTCTTACAAACCTCATGATCTGAAACATGCTCATGTTTCCAAAATAATAAATTTACTGAACAAATATAATGATATATATATATGTGTGTGTGTGTTCATAAGTTCATTGCTGAACACAATAATATGGCGAACATAATAAAATTTATTTTAAATTTAGAGAAAAAATTTTAAAGGATTTTAAAATTAGAACTAAAGATTTTATAGTGCTACTACAGGTACGTCAAAATTAATGTGTGTAAAATAATCTACAAACCAGACAGATATCAACGAAGTAGATGTTGATAATACCAAAGAAAGTGTTTTAAATGTTACATTTTGGGCTGAGTGCAGTGTGACAGCGACGTGAGTGTTATACACCTGATGATGGCCGTCTGAGGCCGAAATATGTAGTGTAGAGGAACAAGATCAAGGACACATAATATATTGTTTGCACTTAGGACAGAATTTATATCATTATATCATTTATCGTATGGAGTGCAACAGGATGCTTAAATATAATATACTGAAAATATCTTCACCTGGACAGTTTTTGTACAAAACACTACAACCAAACATTATATTTTCCACTTTGTACTTCATATATGTAATTAACTAAACTCCAGAAATTTTCAGTTTCTGATCCTCTGATCACATTGACACATTTCTTTATGGATGGCATCTGGTATATCCACATTTCATGGATATTTTACTGATTTAGAATGTTGTTGCTCTGTTCCATTTCATCTGCACATTTACTCACTAACTTTGCACACTGTACTCATGTTACTGCATTTGTAAACAAATTTTCAAATCATTACATATATTACCTCTACCATCTTTGTACATATACAAAACTCTAATATACATAAAATCCAATTCGAATGATTTCACAACCAACTCAGGATTACACACAAGGAAGAAAGATGACTTGCACATCGTCCCATGTAATACAAGTCTATGCAAGAACTTTAACAATATAGGACTTAGCTAAATCTGCCACGATATATTAAAGAAACACCAATACTATAAAAGTTCAAAAACGCATTGAAAACTTACCTACTCGATCATTGTTTTTACAAAGTGGATGAGTTTCTCTTGTGTGAGACAAACACTAATCAATTATAATCACATAATTCATGAATAATCGGTTTTGGGAATCCCTACTGCGCAGTTTACCTTTCTTTCTTGCAGCAACCAAGATAATACAGTCGGAGATGTACCTGAATGGGCTACCATGGAGAGATTGCAGATGCCAAGAAGCTGCACCAGGAAGGGAGAACAGATGTAGTGAGATGTTGCAGTGTAGAGTCTACAGTGAAATATACCAGTGCTACCACCAAATTCACCAATATTATCTGAAAGGCCACGCCATAGCTTAAGCAGTTAAGTCGCTGGCTTCCCACCGCTGCGGTCTAGTCAAGTGGGATTTGTGATGGACAAAGTGGCGCTGGGGCAGGTTTTCCCCCCCGAGTACTTCGGTTTCCCCTGCCAATCCTCATTTGATCAAATTCTCCATAAGCATTATCACCAGTACAGATACAAGAGGACATATGGAAGCCGACGTGCCGGGGGGACCTAATATGGATTCCACCTTACACTATGTGAAATTTTAATTATTGTAATCTATTGTAAACAATTTTAAGTACTGTAACTTTATTCATTTATTGTAATCAGCCAGTGTACAGTAACTGACTTGTCCTATATCATGTAACAATGATCTATAGAGATGAAATAAATAAATATTACAAACATAACTGCATCTTGGAATAACAAGAAAAGTGGAAGGTATGGTTCTTGAAACAAAGTGATGTCACATGGGTCAGCTGTGAACTCTGCTGACTGAAAAATATGCATGATTCATATGGTGATGAAAATTTATTCAAATATTTTTGGAAAACAATTAAAAAAATAGGTACATCAATGGTAATTTTATTCATTGCAGAAAAAGTGGTCAAATATATGTTTTCTTTTACTTCTGATGCCCCAGAGCTATTAACAAAAGGAGAAAGGAATGTGATGCTTCATCAATATTCTTCACAATGAAGGGGCTGCCATGATTAAGGCTAGAGACCTTCAATGTGAAATAATGTGTTACAGCAGGTTCTAAAGAAATGCTCTTGGCACATTACTTGTATCAGGGTGATGCCTCATTCAAATCTCACGAGAGCTCAGCCACAAGCCCAATTTCTGACAAATGTGTGATATCTCCTGCATGCTTTGGGAATCATCTTACAAAAGGCTATAACTACTTCCACAACCAAAATAATTCACAATGAAAGGATGGTTATCCTATCATTTGTCACTTTATGCTGCACAAATACAAAAGTCGATATAATGTTGTTAAATGTGATAAGAACAAAGAAAATTATTTTAAAATGATTCTGGCATTCAAATAAACATAAAGTCAATTATTCTATAAATCATTTAATCAAAATAATTCTGTAATCTGTAAATGGAATGCATATTTTCTATTATATGTAAGCAACTTACACAGAACTACAGAAATTCTTAACCATGTTACAAATATATGCCTTACCCTGTCACCTTCTATTGCAATTCTCATCTAGAAGGTGCATAAAATACTGAGGGGAAAAAATTCAATTTAGTGAACACATATTATATGTATCAGAACTTTCCATAGGATTGCAGTTATTTCATTTACAGGTCCTGTACAAGGATAACCTACAGCCCACTTAAGTACACTACAAAATGTCAATTACCACCCATCATGATCCTGAATTATGTAACTATGATGGAATGTTCCAACGTTGATTTGCAACTATGCAACAATGAAAATCAACAAGGAGCACCTACCTTTGAGCCCGAAGTGGTGACACACAAGTGTCACCACTCATTTCACAGTTTTCTAAAGTTCAGTCTCTCATGCTGTGTTCATTATAACAAGAATACATCCAATAACTATGAGGAAAATCAAGCAGGCTTATGGTTCACTGCAAGTATCAATTTTCCAAATTCAGCCAGTTGTAGGCATACCCTTCACCACCCCAAAAATGTTATCAGAGACGACTACTAATATGGACACAGTACAAGTCTGAACTAACAATCTGTAACAATTTCAGTAGAATAACAGTAACAGTAAACATATACATAAAAGTAATAGGATTTACAAAAATACAGATTGTCAAAAATTCCTTCTGTGAGTACTGTGTCGTAAGATGTCACTGCTTCATGGATGATGCAAGGAACATCCAACACCACCTTCAATTTTAAACAAATACAAACAATTTCAGTGTAAAGCACAATTCTTACACCTGTATTACTTTTACTAGTGATACCGCAACATAAAAGAAATTTCAGCAATACAAGATATCCATCACAGAAGACATATGTGCATATATGAATGTATCAAAGACAGATCCTTAAAATATGGAGTGGATATATGGTCACAAATACAAAAATTTGTACTAACAGAATTCTTGTAATTGGAAGCTTAACCAGATTTCCATTTATCATTTTAAAATTAAACATGCAGAAAGCAGAATTTTAATAAAACTCGCACACTATTGTGATAGCAAGTCCTGAAAATACTCTTCATAGGCTAGAACATCACAGAGCAACACATACCTACATGATGATAGTTGTGTGAGACAGGCTTCTGTGCAATCGCTGATGCACTGTCTCATTTTTGTGATGACAAATTAACATATCTGGGATACATAAATAGTCTCCAATAACAAAAAGTCAGTCACAAAGCAATCATGTACTGTTTGTTACCTGCATAGGAATTTTGAAGCCTCAAACAGAGTACATACAGTGGAGTCTGCTTAACTCTTTCATTCCCCTATCTGAGACCGGTCATTTACCATGGTTTTGTCCAGAATGCCATATCCAACCGTGGTTAAATACCAACATGCAATGACAAAAAAATATTTATTTTTCAGAATGTGCTTTCAGCAGTTCTTTTTTTCTGTTGCTATCTTTTGCAATTCCACAGATGCACCTAGACTGTCTGTGACTCGTATGTTTACTGTAAATACTGCGAACCATTAGTGTACTGTCAAAAAATAACCCAGCTGCACACATGCTGCAAGATAAAAGTGTTCAGAGGTTCCTGTTTAAGACATTTTCAAATCAAAGAAATACAGATCCCTGGTTCCAAAAATTTCCCCATAACACTAATGTAATATTAACGTGTTTAATGTTTCCCACTTAAAAATATCCCCTGCATGAGAAAACCCCATTTTAATGTACTTAAACTAATATTTTGCACATTTAATCTTTATCAGAAGTTACTTTTCCTCCCAGATATTTGTTCACTGCAAACTTCACCCATGGCAGCTCTTGGCTAGCACCTACAACTGAAACTGAACAGAACCATCTGTATCATGGCTCATCTCTCATGCTTCTGCACTGCTTAAAAGCACGACGCTAAGCAGTCATTCATCTCCTTTATTCTTTAGTATTCTATTTCTGTCATTTTGCACTTTCTTAACTCACTGGTGTCAAATGTCTATAGGCATGCTGATGAAGTGGCTACCCAATATTCTGAAATTTATCAGCAAATCAAGCTAATCAGTAGCTTTATTTATTATTTACTATAAGCAGTGCGCAACATGAGAAATGCTGAGGCACTAATAAAACAAACTACCAATTGGGGGGGGGGAGATACAATCAGAAAAGTGGGCAGCTACCTAAATACGATGTGAAAGTTCAACCACTAAACGTACCATTATCTATGCTGAACATTTTGGTGGATCAAAAAAAAAAAACACTCTAAGTCAATTGCTTACTGGAACTAAAATGAATCTGGCAGGATCTGCAATGTTGAAACCTACCATATAAAAATGTTTTTTTTCATGTAAGTTTTTATACCTTCGTTTCTTGGAAAATTTTGCAAGAGGGTTCTACTGTAGTTACTACAATGTTGCCAGTTAGACAAAGAAAATTATACACTTGGTCGTTGACTTACGACCGACTTCCATTCTGACTGACAGGTCATAAGTCGATCTGGCCATGTCGGCAATATATTTATTAACAGTATTTTTAACATTTCTAATCTTTTATCATATTTATAATGTATTTTTAAAAACTTTTACATTTTAATCATCTTTTATTTTTCATTTTTTTGTGGTCGTAAGTCACATAGCTTGTAAGTCGATGACCAAGTGTATTAAGCTTAACCTTTAACGGCCGAATGTTTTATATATACATATGCAGCAAGCAGCGACCCGAGTTGCCCAAATGTTATATATATGCGGCACGACATGTGCTCTCTTTGGGAGTGCTGACAGTTTGACCTTGGGTTTGAAACCAAAACAAATTATCGTAAGGTCATGTCAATGGTTCATTCCTTAGCTCTGAACAAAGAAATCATTCATCAGGGTACTGGTTTCGATACTATTTACGTTTAGATATGACTGTTTATGACCTGGTCAGCCAAATATAGCCCAGCTTTGTTTTGAGAACTGATGAGGAAATATTCATCGGTGCTTGCATATGAGTGCTTCCGGAGCCTTCAAGGACTGGTTTTCAGTGGCGAATTATCAGTCAGGAAGTCAGTGTCAGACTGTAATATATTTCTTTGTATATCATTTTTATTTTGTGTCTTGAAAGAGGTATAAACCTACTGAGCCAGTATTACTTTGCGAGTAAAAGCTATTTTCGCCACTGTGACTTTCAGTATCAGTGTCACACTGGTACCCTTTTCAACTAGTATTACAATTACTTTGCATCACTATTTTGCGAATATTACTAACAGGTGAAAGTGTCACTTTATCAATCAACATAATTTATTCGATTTTGCTTGTAAAAAGTGCGATGTCGCTTTGTGTGAGGTGGACTGCACGTCAGGGTGTATCGTAAACTGTGAAGTGACACAGTTCAAACTCGTTTACAGTCTGAACAAAATATTATTGTATATAGTGTGATTATATTGACAATATCACCATGATTTAAGGTTGAAGAAAAAACAATGGTTAAGTCCTTTGGAATTTCGTAACATATATAATAAAGATTATATTTTGCAATTCATGACAAAATAATCAGTTAAATTTTCGTTTATAAAAATTGCTCTTTTGTGTATATGTAGAAAATTTTATTGTCTTTTGGGTTGTTTTTAGTTTGTATTTCTATGTTGCATGGAACGGAAAATATGGATTTTTTCTCGACATTTCCAATGTTAATTAATTAGGGTTAATTAAATACCGGCCGCAGAGGGCTACCAGCAATTTAAAAGTCCGTACATTAAAGGTTAATTATACTTATACTTCTTGAACAGAAATAAATCCAGTGCAAACTGCATTAATGTTTCCCTTGGGGACCCAATGGCTATGACAATCCATTAAAGCAACCCCACAGAAATATTACATTAATATCATGTTGAGAGTGTTGCATATACTTATAATGTACTGCACATTACTACTAGTGCAGTTCATACTGATGCTTAATAATGCATGCATAATGAAATCAGTTATAAAGGAACGATATGCCTACAAAAGACACCTTTTCAAGACACGTGTTGTCACACTGCGACTGTATTGCATATTCTTTTCTGAGTTGAACGGTTGCATATTTAGCTTATACCATGATAGAAATGGCAAAAGAATTATATAATTAACTGTTGCACAGCATTCACAATATTTTTGGAGCTAATTCCATATTTCTCCAAGAGGACTGCCGGAGGACCTGATCTGGGCACTTCACTTACAGCCAGTTTCTTCACGATAATGTTCTTTTCTTCAGCCACTGCACTAAGTACTGCTTCACCCAAGCCACCTGAATGAAACAAACAAATGTAATTATGCAAGGAATTATTTTATTACATTATCCACGCTATTCATGTATTAACTGAGTCATACATTTATCAGTGCTGAACCACTACTATTAGGTAAGGCATGAAATCTCATATATCACAGTACTCACTCACAAATTACAGCTTGTGAACTTCTGTATACTTTAATATTTTAGAAACTTTTGCTTTGGTGTAGGATTGATTGGTAGCTATTTCCTACAAATTTTAATAAGATCATAATCATTGTCATCATCCTCATCCTCCATCTTCCCCCTTGAGTTTTCAACGATGCTTTCCAGTATCAAGACTATATACGATGAGAGATGAATGGTAAATTGGAAAGTATCTGGAAGGAAGGGATCATGGCATAAAAGAAGTACAATCCTAGCATTTGCCTGGAGGGGCTAGAAAACCACAAGAAGCATGCCAGGACAGCTGCTGTCCCAGCGAAGATTCAAACTGAGCACCTCTCAAGTTCAAATCTATAGCATCTACTCCAAGTATTTTTACTTTTAAAGAGGGGAAAAAGTATTCTCACCATGTACCACAATAAATTGTATTTCATATAATTTTCCCAACAGGCAAACATGTCTTGAAAGTTAAGTACATTTTATATATGGAGTGCAAAATACATATATAAAGAAATATTTGACATTCAGAATCCAAAACTATAAGAGTAAGTCTGTGAACACAGGAGTAGAATTGTATAAACAGATTAATACTAATGTGAGAAACATTTCACTTGAATGAAATTATTAAAAGTGTTAGGCTTTGAGAATCATTATGCATACCTTGTGGATAGTGGTCCTCAACAGTGAGGATTCTTCCACCACATTCCTTGGCATTAACAATGATCGTTTCAGAATCAAGAGGTTTCACAGTGAATGGATCCAACACACGGACATCGATAGAAACCTTGGCAAGTTCATTCGCTGCAGTTATGGCTTCATGCAATGTTACACCTGCACCAATGATCAGTACTTTGTCGCTACCACTCTTCTTAAGAATTTTTGCCTTCCCAATCTGGAATAAACGGTAATACAATTGAGATACTCACATGACAAAAATTAGCTCCACTGATGTCATTCGTGCATGTACTTAATACACTCTTGAGGTTAAGAATGCCATTACCTTGATCTGCTTGGTGCAAAACACTGTCCTTTACTCTGACAAAACATGAACTTTAAGTATGAGATATTTATATTTCAGTGTCATGTTGTGGATGAGTTTAGAGGCACATAAAGTGCCACGATTATCCATGGAATCATGTGTTGTTATCAACGATCAATCAACATACCCATTAGGCATGTGTAAGTCTTACTTTTTGAGACTGAGTTGAGAAAAAATTATCGTTCTTGATTTGTGCATCAATTCTCCATTCTTGTATTTCTTTGCGTGGGGGGGGGGCATGTTAGCACTTTGCGGACTGGACGCATGATATCATGCTTTTCGCTTTTAAACGTGGCGGACCGGTGGCATGATATCATGCTTTTAGGACACGTTAGGTTGTAACACACTATACCTTGCTCTGGTGCCACGCAACTGCAATGGATACTGCATAATAAATCTTCGGAATTTATGCTAGGTATTCAGTAACTTGACCTGGCTGGCTAGGGTCCCTACTCCAAAATAAATAAACTTGCCCTTTCCAGCTGTTTATGTACCAAGCAGGAAGTTAGAGGGGAATATGTTTCAAGGACAAAAGCAGTTGAAGGCAAAGCGATCTCTCTGACTTGTTTTCCGATGAGCTATCTGACGTGCCTTGTGGAAGAGTAGTGATTAGTGACTTAGACAGTGGAAGTGACAGGGAACAAAGAATTGTGGCCACACATAATAAAAGTGAAAATTGCCTTGTGGCTTATAAATTGTACCATTTTCAATTCATTTTTGGTTTACAAAAATCTAAACCCTGATTCAAAATTGAAATACAAAGCATTTCTGATGAATGTGGCAAAGGCTTGGGCTACAGACCAGATGGTGGCGGCAGAACCAGAGTCAGACAGACTTAGTGCGACCTAGCCCATCAACTCCCACCCCACGCAGGCCTCATGCGGACACCCCTGGGCGACTCTCGGGTGATATGCGGAAACATACCCTTCTAAAAATTGTGAAGAGTGAACATTCCAAAGGGAAGCATCCTTCTAGGCAATGCCATGTTTGCGCAGTTCACAAAGGGGAGTGTTTCCAGAATTATCACACCCTCAAGCACTTCTAGCAGCATTGGTAAGTGTTCTCCAAAAATTTTAGTTCATAAAATTAATTAGGAGATTTTATATTAATTTTTAAAGTGAACAGTGCACAAGTTAGGGTAGTAGGTATAAAAATGCCTGTCCCCAGGGTGATTTAAATATTTAAATTGCCGGTCCGCAAAGTGTTAAAATTGACTGGTTATCATATCTGTCCAAATGGAAAATGAGTTCTTCTCCACTTTAAGGGCTGAAAAACTAAAGGTCATTGGAATAAATTTGAATGCTACATACACTAAATTCTTTTGATCCTTTTAAGCTTTTAGTACGTTCCTAGAATAGTTCACACTGTCATTGTATCAGACAAACATACTACGTAATATGAGAGGCAAAAATATGCTTCAAGCTCAGAAGCCACGACCTGCCACAAGATTGCCCACAGCACCATCAACCTTACAAAACAAAAGCAACAATTAACTGATTTATATTACAGCATTCTGTACTAATACAAGGGTTCAGCATCATCAGAAGAAGCAGCAGCAACAAAAATGAAAGCCAGAGCATGTAAAAAACAGAAGTACCAATATGAAAAGGAAAACTGTCAAAAAATATCAGGTACTGGCAGTTATAATTTGTACTTTAAGATCATGGTAATTAAACATGCAGAATCCCGAAGCAGCAAAAATATAACATATTTTCCCCGAGTTTATCTGAATGTAATTACAATAAAAACAGGTACTTGGTCAATAATACTTGAATATTGTCATTTTTACAGATTCAGAGACAAAAAGAAATGTCGATTTCATGAAACAACATTACTCAACCAGACTCTGTAATTTTAAGTCTAGCTCAGGGTGGTGTGTACAAATGAAGGTGGAAGAGGTTTTCATTACAGTGACACTAGGAGTGTTGCACTACAAGGAGTGCATGTAGAGGCAATGTTGATTAAATCCCATTGCATTTGGATATATCATCCATTTGCACCAATGATGTATGTGCAAAATCTGTTATCTTAAAATTATCAGACAATGAATACATGCAAGTGACTGCAATGCTGAAACATGATACTGAATTGAAAAACTGTGCGTAACGCGCGGGTACCTACGGAGCTAACAGCCTCATGTTTAACTAGGAGATGGATGACTGAACAAATTGATGGACTAGATAAAAGTTGTCTGAAATAGGAGACCCAGCGTATTGATGAGAAAACAAACAATGTTCCTGCTGGATGTATTTAAAGGTAATTTAAAAATGAGGGTCAGATCTGTGATTCATGCAATGAATACTGACATTGTGGTTATTCCTGAAGCAATGGTTCCATTACTGTATGTTCTACCAAATAAGCCTTTTAAGGATCATTTGAACCAACTGCATTCCAAATGGCTCTTAGTAGAAGACCATGTTCTGCCACTGGTGGACAATAAAAAAACCTAATGTAGCTGAACTGTTGTGCCAGTGGATGAAAGTTGTGGCAATGATCTCTCCATAAGTGGGAGTGAAAAGGATTTAAAAAGTGCCATGTATCTCACGGAATGATCAGGAAGGTGTTAGGAATGTTGGCAGTGAACATGAGGATGTGAACTGAATCTGAGATAGAAGATGGAAATTGTGAAGACAATGGAACTGGACAGATGACAGGAATGGTGAAGGTAAATGAGGGCTAGTTTCTTCAAGAAGGGAATTAGCTGAATAAAAATGTTCATCATCATCATCATCATCATCAGTAGTCCACAGTCTCTTCCAAAACAGTTCCTCCACATAAGGCGATCTTCTGTTTTTGGAAAGAGACTATCCAGGAAAAGTGATAATGTGGTAGTTTTTCCATTTGCTTTCCACATCGCAGTACAGCAGCCGTTCAAACCATTCTGGTCACACGTGTTGCCATACGAACTTGAACCATCTCGAGCATCATTTGCTCTGTGCTTCAAGTCGCTGCTTCAGGCATCAGTTTTTGGTGTCTCTCTTCATCTGATGCATACCCTTTGACCCGTCCAGCAAGGAAGGCCCTGCCAGTAGCTACGCTACTGCTGGTATAGCTCTCAGGGTCTTTGGCATACTCAAACCCCCTCACCACGATAAGGTGGAGACACCAACGAGGAGGCAATAAATATAATGCATAATATATTTACTAATATTTATTTACTTTCCCACAACTGTAGTAAGGGTATGAAATTAATTCATTAAATTACTATTCCTGTGGAGACATGTTCCCTAATGTGAGGTCATCTTACACTCCAAATCATCTTCCATTTTGATATTGTAAAAAGTAAAAGGTAAACTTGTCCCTGTAACAGGCCATGAAGGCCCATATGTGTGAGTTCAAGGCTCCAACATCTAGACAATCGGCTCACAGATGGCTGCAAGGTTGTCAGCTTTATGCGCCAGCCGCCTTTCCCCCCAGGAATATTCCTGGTACTCATTTCTGTTAGAGGCTGAGTCGACCCCATGGTCATAGTGCAGCTGAAAGGATTATGTAAATTGAAAAATTCAGTGACTTCATCAGAACTTGAACCTGCGACCTTCCAGCTTGCAGTATAGTGCCTCAAGCAACTATGCTACTGCAAATATGGTAGCATGATGGGGAAGAAAAAAAAAGAAAACACCTTGTGTTATGAACTGTTAGTGAAAATCTGGTCTATTAGACAGATTATTGTTCTTGTCTCAAATACTGATAATTTTTCCAAATTCTTGTCTCAATCTTATCTCAAGCTGAAAAAGCCATTCTGGCACTTGTGCAATGTTAAGATGTAAAACTAAAGTCATCCTTGTCTTTAATTAACCACTATGCCATGAAGATGTATAGGGGAGTGGAGGTGTAGTTTAATCATTCTTAACCTTGGCACTAGATACAGGTGAGTGGTCAGCTACACACCCCTGGAGAACAGCCTGTGCCCACTGTACATGAAGCTGGATGGGCCCCAAAGCCAGCATGGATGCTATGGAGAAGAGAAACATTTTCCCCCTTCAGGAGTTGAACTGTGGTTACTAATGTATGAGAAAACAAAAAAGGATGGACCAGACCTAAAACATGTCTGATATCACTGCCGCTAAATCTGTTATTCTAGTACTATTAATAAAATGCTGGCTACATTCAAATTTGCTATACATTTTAAAGTCATATTACCTGAAGTACTTCATCATTTTTATAAAGGACAGGTGTATTGGGTCTAGAAGTACGAATGAAGCAGATGCCTTTTGTGTTTGCTGCAAGCTCTACAGCACGTTCTGTGCTAACTGCATCGCTGGGATAAAACACAGTAGATCCTGCAATCAGGATTTCAATCCAGATCAAACCAAGTGACCTTGTCTGACTTTCAAAGAGACTATGTATAATGCAATCAAATACAAATTTAGCCCAATTATCCATCATGAAATACAAGTGAATTCTGTCAAATTCTGTTACAAATCTATCAGATCTTTTCGGCCAGAGCAGCCCTGTTACATTCAATAAAACACATGCAACAAAATCAGTATGTAACAGCATATGCTTGCAAAATGTGCCCAAACTGCTACCTACAGTGAAATTCCTGCTTATGAATCTGTCAGATAGCTTAGTGTACTTTTTGTTCACAACTAGTGACACTGGTGAAGATTACATGACATGTGTTATAATTACGATTCAGTTTGCTTTGTGGTTGCAGTACTTTATTGGAGTGCTTCATATGTTTGTAAAAAGTGATAAAATATTAATAGAACAAACATTCAATTTTTAGTGAAACTGAAGATAACACAGGCTGTGGCCTGGTTATGCAATTTCAGAATGGAAGGAATGATGTTACAAACATCAAAAGATCCAGCTGTCTGACATCAAGAAAAAGAAAGCGTGATTAGAATTCTTTCTTGGAAACTGGAAGATAGCATTACTGAAGATAACCTGAAAAAGACAGAATGAGAGTAAACATGCTTACATCTTTTTAACATTTCTGATGCTATTTCAGTGACATTGCTCTTTAGTGAATAGGCTTCATGCTCTACAGCACACATGCTACTCACAAGCATAGTGGAACATGTCATATTACGAGTCAGAAGAACTAAAACAATGCTAACTTTCGGTAACTATGCACAGAGATATGACAGTAGGGTTTCACTATAAATGAGAATGTTGATTTGTTGTTCAAATGTAACATATTTTAAAATTAAAAAAAATTTGTTCTCAATTTCAAATAGTAGTTTGATCCATCATATATTCACGTTCACATTTTATTTGTGAAGTACCCTCATCAATGATTTACTGAAGTCCTTCTGGAATGTTCCATTCCACAATAACTACATACCTGGAATGCTACGGAATAGGGCAATATCTTCCAGACCCATTTGACTAGGTCCATCCTCTCCAATGCTGACTCCACAGTGGGATCCAACAAAGTTTACATTAGTCTCCGAAATTGCTCCCATGCGGATCTGAAAGTAAGTTACAACATTCATTTCAAGTTATTATGCATGTTGTAACTTGTATGGTACAGATACCACCTTGCTACATACACTGTCAAAAAAGGGCCTGCCAAATGTATAGAAAGCTGTTTCTAGCCATATTTCTTGTATTAGACAACTAAGAAGCCGGTCACAGTAGCCAATCAGTCTAAGGCATGTACTGTCTTTGCTCGCTTGGAAACTGGGATCATGGGTTCGAATCCCACTCAGAGCATGGATGTTTAGTTTGTGTGTGCGTTTTTCTGTTTGTGTACAGGTAGAGGCCTTGTGATGAGCTGATCATCCGCCCAAGGAATGCTACTGAATGTGTAAGATTTAGAAAAACTGAAGTGAACGGCAGAGTTCATGGAGGTAGGCCTAGGCCCACTGGGGCTGTAGTGCAAAAACGACAACTAAGAGGGATACAAAGGACTATCTTAACCATCTAAGTGTGAGCAGGGGCTTCTGCACATTTCAGCTTAAGAGTTCTATCTATAACAGACAGCTTTACTTTACACTCATGTGCAAATTCTCATGTGATACTGGCTTGGAGTGCAATTCTCTGAGCAACAGCATTCAGATCTCTCAAGATATACTTACACTTACTTGCTTCCCACTGAATTTACGAAATACAGTTTACATTTCAATTACTGGCAGTTATAAACCAACTCAAAATAAACTGCAGGAAACAAGAGGTATTTGTAATCAGATGGCATTAAAATCCTTAAATTGCACATAAAATGGTAGAAAGAAGAAAAAAAGACAAAATCTTCGGTCAGTTTTGCCATTTTAACTGTAAGTATAAAATTAGAACATATGTACATTTAATGGGTTAACAATTAAAAAACTAATACAAGATATAGACTCATATTCATGTCTTGATGCCAAATGCTTAATTCTGTTTTGAGGGGAAAACACGCTCGCATACACATTCCTGCACGTTTAAATTTTCTAATTCAAATTATGAGAATTAACCTGGTCAAAGGCTCGAGTGAAGAATGTTGCAAATGTTGACACAAAGGCAATGGTTCTGTTTCTGCATGTGGCTCCAATAGCAACTCCAACAAGATTCTGTTCAGCAATAAAGCACTCAATGTAACGCTCGGGAAAGGCCTGAAATTAAATGTAACAAGAGTACCATTAGGTAACTGGTTATAAAACCATTCATATATTGGCTTTTTAATTATGCTAAACCAGAAAGATAAGAACAGGTAGAATGAATGGCAAAAGAAAACATAAGACACATAGAAAAACTCCCTTGTGCAAAAATTTTGTTCCGAGGAAAAATCACGAAAAAGGCCATTCAGAAGAACCAGGCATAAACTGTTTGGGAACTAATGAAACATATATGATACAAATAGTATTCTGATGGCTCTGGGGTAGGAAACGCTGAGAAAAACATAGAAAACTAACCTTTTTCAGCCTGTCTGAATAAGTTGAATTTTTGGTGTCACCATCGAGGGCAATGACACGACTGTTGTTGGATGCAATCTTAGCAAGAGCTGTACCATAAGCAAATCTTGTGGCTACATTTTCTCCAATCTTGTAGCTGGGAGGGGAAGACAACTTCACTCCCTCAATATCCACAATAGGAGCATCCTCTTTCAAAGGTTTCTGAGGTGCCACTTGCAAAGGTCCTGTATTTTTTATCAGGGACTTCAGATGCTGGAACAATTACCATAATAACAGATTAACTTTCTCAGTTCTGAAACTACGTGCTAGGTTCATTTAACCAGTTATGCTTCATGTAAGGACGAAAGAATGATACAAAGTGTTTTCTTACACTTATTCCACTTACACTTACACACTTCCTACTCCAGATGTTCAGTTACAGAAGGTCATTCTTGTTCATCAAATATCACAATAAGTGATATATGCCTTTTTAAGTGCACTTCAATCAAGAGACTGTTAATCCACACGTTCACAAAGCACGAGGCAATATATGCAGACTAGAGTTACCACCTCTCTTACTTTAGACAGAACAGCTCTAATTTCAGGTCAAGTAATAATATGAAACTATTCATGAAGATATCGGTTTGTAATTGTAATTGTAATTGTAATTTATTTCGAGTTCCAGATGATCCAATAAAACTGGTTACAAACCATAGGATATAGAACATGTCAAATATTAATTAAAATATGTAAAGATAAGCAGAACAACATAAAAGTACAATACAATCATAAGTACAGTTCAAGTATAAGTTGCACTCAAGTAAATAATTAGAACATGTCAAAATTATGAAGTAATAAAATAAATGATATAAAAGACAATAAGTATTATCATAAATACAATAAAACTATTATACAGATAGACTCATATATTTCAATATAGAGTAACTAACATACTATTCATATAAAACCATTAGTTTACAACATCGTTCATTAACACTAGAATACTCCTCCAAGTCATAAAAACAATGGGTAATCAAGTATCTTCTTAAAGAAATCTTAAATTGCTTGTGTATCCCAACAATCCCCTTTATTTCAAGAGGCAGATTATTAAATAACTTTATACCTGTAAAGTAAACACCTTTTTGGTACAGTGTTAAGGTGGAAGTTCGGAGATATAAATTACTACTCTGCTGGTCTGGAGATTACGTGCATCATGATTAATAGTGAAAAGCTGCCTGAAAAGATTTCTACATGAATGTCTATTACAATATCCTTTCATTAAACGAACTGCTTTTTTTTTGTATCATAAAGAGTTTCTTGGTATTGGTTGCCTGCCCCCAAAATACAATTCCATATGATAGTATAGAATGAAACAGAGAATGATATATCTTCACCAACGATGAGCCTGACATATAAGGTCTGACAGATCTTATCATAAATCAAACTGTAGTCTATATGTGGTATTTCAACTAACATCTCTTATGAAGGTACAATAATTCTGAAATACTGATCTTCATTGAGGAAACAAGGCTGCAGAACACGATTTCACACACACTATTCTACTCTGGAAGTTATGTATTAATCACAGCCAATCTCCTTAATGGTTAACAGTGGACAGTGCAGGATCAGAAAGAGGCCACTATGTATTTAACCATTTTCTATCCTCTAATGGAAGGCTCTCAACTTTATACTTTTCCCATATAGATCCTCTGCAAGAAGGCTTATGCTACTACCTATGAATTTACTTCCATGTTACTATTACATGCTGAGTGTTAACTTAAAAAATTTTAAAATTTTTGACACCCTTTCTAGAAGACTGCACATAAGAACAAAGAACATGAGGTTTTTATATTTTCCCACATCAAAGCATATTGTTTTTAATTTTTGTGAACACTGCTTTGTAGTTGACAGGAATGGAGGTGGAAATTAAAATGGGGAAAAGTTGAAGTTAGCTGTATGCAACTTTAACCAAACAGTTTGTGATTATTTTCCTGTCTGTTCAGTTGTACTGCTTTCATCAGTGGCCCTGTGACTGGCAATTTTCCAGCCTCTTTCAGCCTTCAGTTATGCAGTTGGTGATGGTTGGCTATGTAAACCATCATTCTATCTTTCTGAAGAGACAGCACACTAAAGTACAGCTCAATGTCTCCTAACACACCACACCATATGAAAAATATATACTTCAGTGATGGAGATGTGTCACAGAGTGGTATGTCTTTGCCACCAGTTATAGCAAAGTTCCTTGTGATGCTGTAGAAGGAACAACAGAATGGCAGGAGGCCAGAGCAGGTCTCCAACATCCTTATGATAACCAAAAATTGATATTTTGGGGGGTAAAGGGCGACCACAATGTAAGGCTGACAAACTCACTGGTATCTGTGAGCCGACCATCCAGAAAATGTGGAAGCCTCGATGTATCAGAACCCTATGGGCCTCCATGGCCTGCTACAGGGAAACTGCATTGTGGGGGGTGGAGTCCAGCTGGGTCCACTTGGCACGTCGGCCACCGACTGGCCTATTGTACCTGCCCTGGGTGACTATGATTATGGAGAATTTGGTGGAATAAAGATTGGCAGGGGAAACCAAACTACTTGGAGAAAACCCACCCCAGGACCACTTTGTCCACCACAAATCCCACTTGACCAGACCTGGAATCAAACCCGATCCACCGTGGTGGGAAGCCAGTAACTAACCACTTGAACTATGGCACAGTCTGCTACAGGGTTAGTTTTTTTAAATTATAAATCACAACAAAAATTTCAGATACCGTGACACAATTTGGCATACAGGATTGATTTCTGTGGTTTATTAAACAGTGCTATCGGCAGTATGATGATTAGTGAACAATGAATTGGAAACATTTGGAAGGAAGCAGTCATAGCCTAATCTGAGGTACTATCCTGGCATTCACCTACATGAGCAGAGGAAACCACACAAAAACATCAATCCAAACAGTCGGCAACCCTGCCATGATTTGTACTGAGAACTCTTGAATACAAGTCAGAAGCATTACCACTTGAGCCAAGTTACTAGGCAGCATGCAGGATTTGTTGAACCCTGTAATATATATTACAGTATGTCAACATGCAATGACTACTTCAAAATATTGCACATATGTACGAATGTGCATCTCACTAGTGCCTAAATGGCTTCATAGATTTTATTCATATGTATAATGTGTCTGCATATTACCAAAGGACATAAAAGTTTAAATTTCAATTCAAGTATAACTGCTACAATCTCACAAACAGTTACACTTACAAGTCAACCAACACATGATTGCTCATGGCTCAAAGACAAACTAACTATTCTGTGATAGGTGCTACGAGTAGCGGCTAAGTTACTGTCAGACCACACACGTTTTCCTTCCTCTCTGCACTTGTCTGCAGTTGTCACCATGGACATACCAAAGAAGAAACGCTGAAAGACAAACTTACCTGAATCACTTCTTCAGATTTATCACCCAATGGCTTTCCATGCCAGTTTTCTTGATCTTCAATTGTGGGGAAGTTCTTTCCTTTATATGTTTTTGCAATGACTGCAGTTGGTTTTGCTTTTGTGATGGATGCTTCATGGAAGGCCTGTAAAGTAAAAAAAGTAAAGTAAAGCTACCCCTGTAACAGGCCATGAAGGCCCATAGGGTTGTGAGAAACTGAGGGTCCCACATTATCTATAGACAATCGGCTCAAAGATGGCAGTAAGGTTGTCAGCCTTCCGCACTGGCCGCGCTTTACTCCCCAAGAAAATTGTTTAATTAATTCCTGGTACTCATTTCTGTTAGAGGTTGAGTCGAC